GGGGAAGGGGCGAGGCCAGGGCCCCGTGGAGTGTCCTCTTTTTTTAAATGTTTAAATATGGTAACCCTACAGTGGGCCAAAGCCTGCCTCAGTGGGGTGCCTGGAAGTTCCACAGTGGGGTGCTCCCCCAACCACACCAGTACACAAAATCAGAGTTATGGTTGCACTGTAATTTTCTGTTCTACAGGGTGTGCATCTCAGTGTCTCGCCATTTTTAAAACGCTTGTTTTCTAAACATGCTATGGAGAATTTGAACCAACGGTCAGCCACTAATTCATATGTGTATGGAATGATGATGATTTTTAGGAAATTTGAGGAAACTGGAATACTGGAAAAGCCTGATTCCTTCCCTCTCCCTCTCCCTCTTCCCCATCCCCAACCCCCCCCCACCCCTCCCTCCAAACACACACAGAGTACACATAAGTTTCGCCCTGCTGGTGCTTGAGCAGGAACATTATGACATCAGCCATGCATCACTCTCTCACTCTAGTTTATTTGGGTTGTCATGACAATGGCTGCCTTGGATAACTGGTTTACCTCAGACTCCTATAATATTCTTACAAAGAAGAGTCTCAGGAGGCGTTGTAAGGAAAGCAGACTGAGTTTAGATAAGCTTCTGGTGTTCCCCTTTCTGGGGAAAGTTGTACTGTTTCTTCTCTTATTGCTTGTTCCTTTCCTCAGAAAGGGTTATATGAAAATAAGATGCAAAATTCAGCTCCTTTTCATATAGATTGTTTATCTGCTTCTTATAAATTGCGGGGGGGGTATGGCTTTCTGAATGTTTACCTTTAAGAAAGTGAGAAATTGTAGCTGAGAGTCCCTAATCAGTTTTCTGGTACAATTTAGAAGTTTTAGTAAAATTGAAGTTGCATTTATAAAAAGTTACGTTTGAATACAGTTTAATTAAACTACTTTCAATGTCAACATGCTATTGAGTGGTGAAATGTGGAGCTTCACAATGATCAATGGCAATAAAAATGGTAGTCTGAGGTAAATTCACTGAAGGCAACCTATGTGTAAGCGCTTTATTAATTAAATAGCACAGGTATAAAAGATTTTTTTTCTATTAAAGAACTAAGGAAATTCAAAGACAAAAAAATCATTTAAAGTTGCTCTAATAAATAAATTAAACTACAAAAAATTAGGAAATACGAAGTTAAGGTGTAAGAATATTAAAAGTTTTCAAAGTCAAGCACTCTCAAATTAGGAAATGCCAGAATGAATGCTGCCCAAACAGACCCAGTTTGGCCCCTTTGTGTATATGCATTATGATACAGCCTTTAATTACATGTGGAAGTGAATACATGTGGAAAGTTTGTTGTATGTGGCTTGCCCAGCATCACACAGGAACTTGAAAACCAAGCAAATTTGTTCCAGAAGTCATTACAGACAAATAGTTTCATAGGATTCCATATTTTAGAACTTGCTTTTCAGAGTAGAACCACACTTGAGGAACTGTTGAAAAGGGAGCAGATACACAAATGTATGAAAAGTTACAAAATGGCAGGTACCCCTTTTTGCCTAATGCTTAAATTATGTTCCTGCAATTTGATATTTCTCCTCCACCCCTGCCACATGCACATCAGTTTTATCAGCATGACCTTTTCTACTCTTTGTTTGATGGAATTGTGGATGTCATTTTTCATTAGCCCTGATCAATCTTCGGAAATATTGTCTGACTATATTCAGCAGTGTACCGTGGGGAGAAAGCTGCTGATACACACCATTACGTATGAGTGTAGCAATCATGTTCCTCCTGTAAGTAATCATTCTTTGTATGTGTCTTAAAAATGACCTGTCATTTGTTTCCTTTTAAGCTGTAGTTAAGATGTTTTGTACATTAATAGATTTACAGAAGTGTTAAATTATGTTTTCAAATATTTATTGTGGGACCTCAATCTCCAATAGTGAGTGCTGTGAAATATTTCCCCTTTAGAAGGAAGAGGTTTAACTAAGGCTTCACCTCTGGATTAAAATGCCAATCTGTGACCAATCTGGTCACCTGTTATCAGTCTCTTCAAGCTATGTTAGTTGTTTTCCTATTCCTAAGTATAACAGCCTAGAAAAGATGACAGCATCTTAAAATTGTTTGCAGCCCTTGCTACACACAGCTAAGGGTGCTACTCTGTTTGTTTTAGAGAATTGATTAGCAACAAGAAATCCTATAAATTGGGATGCCCAAATCTTAAGTAACTTTTCTTCTCTTCATATACGTAGGCTGTTTTAAAGAACCTTGCGGAAGTTGTTGGAGGCCGTTATCACTGTTATTCTTCAAAGAGTGAGGTAGGTTTAGGCTAGAAGTACACAGAACAACTTTTTCTTTTGTTTGTTTTTGTTTGTTTATTTTCATGCAGTCACTCGGTGAAATAGGTTCTCGTCTTTGTAGCAATTTATAGTAAAAAGAATTGGTAACTAAGGTCTTTGTTCAGGAAAGCACTTAAGAGCTTGCTTAAAATTAAATATATACTTAAATGCTTTCAAGAATCAGGAATGCTCTCCTAAGGGTGCAGGAGACTTCTGCAGATATTCTGCACATATAGTGGGACCAGGAACAGGGCCGTGGCTGCGGGGGGATGACACAGACAGAGGTAAGGGGGCCAAGGCTGGGGCTGCAGCTGGGGGTGGGTCTGGGGCCGGAGCTGGGAGCGGGCCCCCGGTCGGACCGCAATGGGGGCTGGCAGCGGGGTCCAAGGCTGGGGAGGGGGCCAGGGTGGAGCAGGGTTGGGTGGCGCTCCTTCCCCGCCCCATGGGAATTGTACTGGCCCTGCTGTGGCCCATGAACATTCTTCTGTGCCACCCTAGGAGGGCACGCTCCACTGATTGGGGACCACTGGTCTAACTTCTAAGTAGCATGAAAGCTATGGACTTTATCATTGAAGACTAATTCAAATATTTCATGTTCACTAAATAATGGGAGAAATTTCTGTACACAATCTTAATAGATACAACTACATTTACTCTGTTTTGCGAGGCAGCATCATTGGTAGTGCCCATAAAATAACTGGTAAACCAGTGTCAGAAGAGCTGACATTTTGCATGATGTTTTACTATGAAGCATAGAGCGACAAGGTGGATGAGGTAATATCTTTTATTGGACTGACTTCTGTTAGTGAGAGAGACAAGTTTTCAAGCCACACAGAGCTGAAGAAGAGCTCTGTGCATCTCAAAAGCTTGTCTCTCTCACCAACAGAAGGTGGTCCAATAAAAGATATTAACTCACCCATATTGTCTCCCTAAAAACTTGGGACCGACACAGCTACAACTACACTGAATACAACATAGGAATTGTAGAATCCTTTCGACCTTTTTTCCTCTTCTTGTTGCATAACAGAATTACGATAGCAGCGATGTTTATCTACTGCTTTGTGAATCCCAAAAAGCTAAGAATATTCTCAGCAGCATCAGAGAAACTTTCCAGGGAAGGATTGGTGATTCAGTTATTGGTAGAGTACAAGATGTAAGTACAGTATTTGTTTTGTTTTCAGGTAATCTTCGTATAGCACAGACATGCAGAACTCTGTATTAATTATCAGAATAGGGAAAACATACTATACTAACAGAACACAATGATACATTTAAATGCTATTTACTGGCTGTACTTTGTAAGATCAGATAAATACTAACAAATGATAAGGGAAAGCTTTGAATGGATCCTCAATGGATTCATTCTAGGTACAATTATTTTGGTAAACTGAAATACTTACCAAAAAAGAGAGCAGCAGGGGAAATATTTTTTTAAACACAGGGTGTGGCCATAATGGACAGCGAAACAAATGCTGGACTACCTAAAAGCTAGCCTCATTCATTAACTTTTATTTTCATTTCCAACCTCCCCATGTCCTTGGTGAAGTTGGGAAAAAGAAAAAGGATATTTTCCTCTGCCTTTCTCTCCTTCCGTAAAGCACCTGAAGAATTTGCTGCACTGCTTTATGCAGATGGAAATGCTGCTTGATCACATCTTTCTGTTGGCTTTGACTTGCGTAGAAGAAGCTATGTTGTCTTGTATTCCACATCTTTTTCTTTGCCACATACACCAGCCATCATATACTTGCTGGGGGCCTTACAACCTAGAAACAGCTTAATAACTCATCTGTGCTTACCAACCTTAATGTAAATGAGCTTAACAGCTCTTTTTTTTAAAAAATTTAGATTCATAGACGATTTTTTTTTTTTTTTTTAAACGACGTACGCTTTTCTGTCTCCCAGGTAAAAGGGGCAATGCTGTGCAGGTGAATGGGTCCTCTCCTCCAGGGGATTTGGAGGCAGTTAAAGAGGACTTCCATCAGGTGTCACTAGGACTTTCTCATGGACTCTAGGAATGCCTGTTCTAAGGCAAGGGAAAACACAAGCTGATAGGAGCTTCTGCTTGCATTTCTTTCTTTAGATATGTTTAACATCTCCCAGAATAGGATTTTTGACAAAATTTAACTCCCTCCTTTGTAAGGAGATAATTCTTGAGCATTTTATAGGCATAATAAGTGTTATGACAGCACTAGGGCACAGCAAGTGCAGTACGTATTTCTGCCAGCTCTGTAATTACCAAGTGGAAACAAACCCACACTGTAGTATTTTTGAAGGCTATGCTTCTCCAAACTAGTTTGTGTCAGTCCAGAAACTTGTTGGCCAGACAAGCTACAACAGGGAACCATCTGCATGATCTGTTCTCCATAAGTTCTAGTGTGCTCTGTAAAATTAGGATATTTATCCCTTTTTGAAAATTTATTTATATGTAACCCTTCTGCCAGGCAAAACCAGCAGCAACCAGGGCCAGGTTCAATATCTAGGGATTCCTTTCCATCAATACAACACAGAACCAGCTTGAGCCCCCACCAGTAACCTGGGAAAATTACACACCACCCCTGGGCGCCTCTGAGAGGCAATACTTCCCCACTCGCAAACACCGAGTCTGAGTGTAGAAAAGAAACTTTTAATAAAAGGAGGAAAGTAACTTGGCATTAATTTGGGAAAACACTGCAAACAGGATTCACAAACATACACCATGTGCAAAAGACCTACCCCAAGTAAGTTGGGCAGTCTCCTTTTCCCCTCAGGTTCTTAAGTCCAGCAACCCAAAAGTCCCTTTAACATGCCCGTCCCTTCTCTGCACCCCTCTCACAGTTGCTGTCCTTGGTCAGTGCAGACCCAGAGTTCAAAGGTGCATCTGCACAGTTCACCTCCCACCCCAGGTGAAGGTAAGGAGGGACCTTACTTGCTCCACTGCCCGGGCACTCACCCACCGCCCCTCTCTGCCAGCCGCCCTGCTGGCCACTTGCTCTGCTCACCGCCTCACCAACCACTTGTTCGTCAGCCGACTGTCAGTCACCTTCTGCTACCACCTGCCTCTCTGCTGTGACCTTTTCAAATCAGTTTCTTAGTGATTTTCAGCTCTTTGCAGGCTGGGCAGAAACACTGCCCCATCTCAGGTGATTTCAACTCTGGGAAGAAACCCAGTCCCACCGCAACTGATTTCAGCTCTGATTGAGCATTTAAAATAACAAAAGAGGCTCCTAATGAAGCCTATTTAGCTCTTTCTTTGAACAGCGGAGAGGAACAGGTCAAACCATTCTGGGGACTCCTAAGAAGAGTCTACCCACCACCTGGCTGGGACACCTGTCCCCACCCCTCTTATTTTCACAGGGTTCCAGCATTCGAGCCCCTGGCTTAACAAGGTCCTTTCAGCTGAGGGTGACCCCTCTCATTTGGGACAGGTTAAGCATTGTGTATTCCTACAATAATTACAACATTGGTAGCAGCATTTCACTACCCCTGCATTCAGTACTAATGTGATTTGTAACCCCACACCAGCCAAAGTTGATTACTTTGAGCAAAACACCACTGTAATTGCTGGATATCTCAGCAGAGCAGGAGCAAACTGTATTCACATAAACACACACAAACTCTCTCCCCCTCCCAGCTAGCTGACAGGGAAGGATTCATTCAGACCCTTCTTTACATCCATCCATCCATCCCTCTCTCTCTCTCTCTCTCTCTCTCTGTCTCTCTCTCTCTCTCTCTCTCTCTCTCTATCTATCTATAAATATATATATATATATATATATTGCAGATAACACCTAGGAGTCCCTATCCTGGATCAGGGCCCCATAGAGGCTGTTGAGCTTAAACTGACAGCTGAATATCCACAAGGCGATGTTAGAAAGACAGGCTGAGATTTTAATTTGGATAGAAGAAGACAGTAGAAAGGTAGATCTGTGTTTGTTCAGCATTGAGATCATAGTTGCAGAGGTGTTTTATTAATGTGATTACCCAGAGATAAATTGGAGAGGGAGATGAGTAAGGGGACCCAGGACAGAGCCCTTTAGGACACCACAGAAAGTTGGAGGGGAAGGATGAGGAGGATTCTCCAGATGAGACACTGAAAAAGCAATTAGAGAGGTAGGAGGAGAGGACAGAGTCAAAAAGGCTGAAGGAGGATAAAACTTCAAGAGCAAAAAGCATGGGTTGAAGTCAGCTGACGGGTTGAGGAGGATGAGTATGAAGTATTGGTCTTGAGGTTTGGCCCAGAAGAGGTCACTAGAGACTTTGTTGAGAGACTGATCAGAGGAGTGCAAGGGGCACTAGCCAGACTGGAGAGGATCCAGGATGGAGTTAGAGGAGAGGAACTCTAGGAAGAAGTTGTAGACAATGCATTCAGTGAGCTTAGAAATGGAAAAGAGAAGGAGGGCTAGTTGGAGAGGCAAGTGGGGTCAAGGGAGGTTGATGAGAGAAAATACATATTTCTGGTGCAAAGGGAATAAACTTAACCTAAATTAAACCTAAAGCCTACTTCTTTTCTGTAGTATAAATAAATGCATGGAGACTCGGTTTAAGTGAAATGATGTACTTTGTTTGGAAGAAAGTATTATCTGGGTGTGTTTTTTAACCACAACCATTTCTGTTTGACCAAAGAGTGTCAGATGTAGCAGTAGTGGAAACACATCTCAGCGTAGTTGAGAGGAAATCCCTGGTCAGCAGCCAGAGGAGAAGATAATGTTGAGAAATTTAACTGTAATTTTGTTTCAGTTTTTATAAACAGTAATATTTTAATGAGCATACTGGGGCAAAACTCTGCCCCATGGAGAACAAATCCAAATGGCTCCCTATTGTTGTAGAATTGCCCAGCAGGCACACTGGTCCTTGGACTGACATCTGGTCTATTTTGAAGAAGCATGACTTTCTACACTACTGCACAGTGAGGGGCACCACTTCTGCTCCTTTTATATATTTTGTACAGCCCTTGATAGTTATGGAGTTGTTAAGAACATGTAGAACAGTTTTTGAGACCTAGTGCTGCAGTAATAATGTGCAATCCCATTGAAGTCCACAGGTTTGCAATGTGCCTAGCACAATGTATGCAGTGGAATGCTGTACTCCAAAAGCTATTTTAAAAGGGATTATTGGAAATGTTATCTATGTTCAAAATATTTTACAGCATTCTGTCAGTTTTTAGTTAGCTGTGCAACTGGTACCTCATTTTAGCATATGTAAAACTGCTATGACAAAATTATCTTGATTCATTGGAGAATTGGTCTCAAATCAACAAGATTAAATTCAATAAAGAGAAGTGCTACGTTTAGGAAGGAAAAGTCGATACACAAATACAAACTGGGGAAAAAACTGGCTTGGCATTAGTATTGCTGAAAAGGATCTGGGGGTTATAGTGGATCACAAATTGACCATGAGCCAGCAATGTGATACAGTTGTGAAAAAGGCTGTTATTATTCTGGAGTCTATTAACAGGAGCATTGTGTGTAAGACACAAGAGGTAAATGCACCACTTGTACTCCGCACTGGTGAGGCCTTAGCTGGAGTATTGTGTCCAATTTTGGGCACCACACTTTAAGAAAGATGTGGACAAATTGAAGAGAGTACACAGAAGGGCAACAAAAATAATAAAAGTTAGTTTAAACTGCAGCAAAGGAGATTTAGGTTAGATATTAGGAAAAACTTTCTCACTATAAGCATAATTAAGTACTGGAACTGGTTATCAACAGAGGTTGTAGAATCTTCATCACTGGCGGTTTTTAAGAACAGGTTAGACAAACATCTGTCAGGGATGGTTTAAGTATATTTGGTCCTGCCTCAGTGCAGGGGACTTGGACTAGATGACCTCGCAAGGTCCCTTCCACCCCTACATTTCTATGCTTCTATGTTTTAAAATTGAGTAAACAAATATTGATATTTACATAAAGCATTTTTTTAAATCTGTCTAGATTTCCAAAGAATTTACCAAGTTGACGCCTGCTAGTTTCCTACCCAAACCTCCGAAGCATGAAGGACCTCTTGTTATACAAATGCCAAGCTTCCTGGCCAAAACCTCAGCAGCCTGGTTAAAGACAAATGGATTGAAAGGTATTGCATATAAAAGAGCTTAATGTGGTATGAAGCATGGATTACAAAATAAGTGTATATTTCATTTAGCATTTTCCTTGCTTGCTATAGCCAAGAAGTTAAGCCTTTATCAAGTTTTGGCTCCTAATGCTTTTTCACCTGTGGAAGAATTTGTGCCTATTCTTCAGAAAACAGTGTCATCAACTCTGCATGAGGTAAATAATTGGAACCTGTTCCTCCTCCTCCATATTCCTTTATCTATTACACAAGATAGTGATGACTCATTTTAATGTATGTTCGCTTTCACAAAGCTGCAGCTCTTTCCTCTCTGGAGCCCACTTTATTAATCAAGTGCTCTTTGCTTTTTAAATGTTCTTAGTTAAAACCATTGACTGAAAAGTCAGCCTGATGTCTAAGCTATGTTTGTAATTCTTCAAAGAAATATTTAAAATGTTTCTACAGTATTGCTGTGCTGATGCACTGTTTCATGGGCAATTTAGATAAGTAACCACAGTATACTGATTGAAATTTTCAAAGCAGCACAGATGGGTTAGCCAGATATTATTCACACACGTGTGGTAATTTTCCAAACCTCAGGCATTGCATTGCGGGAAGAGTTAAGGCAGCTGGCTGAACTAGTGCAATTGCAAGGTTTGTAGCTTCCTGTGCAGACTACGAGTAAATAATTGTAGACTGCACTGGTTCACCCGGATCTGAGCTAAAGACCTCATCCAGGGTGCTGCAACCAACACTTTCATAAAGTGCTTGGTAGACTGTTTTTGTGGAGACAAGTTATTATTCGTGTGTTGCAAACACTGTGTTCCAAACAACATCTTTCCAAGATGGCCTCCGCGTAGTCTCATTGTTGGGAAACATGACCTTAGCACTATCTACCTTTTCCAGCATTGTGACTATACAGAGCCAATGCCCCTCAACTACAGTTAATGTTACCTGGAAGCTCTCTTTGCAGTATGGGTCAGTCAGTTGCTCCAGCTATATGTGGGAGAGAAGAGCAGACATCTAAGACCATGACTCCAAACCTATTGTTGTGAATTATACCTATAGGTCACGCGCAGTTCGAGTCTAGGCTGAGGCACAAGAACCAAGTCCACAACTGCAGAGAATTACAGAGATAACAGGTTTATTACACTCGAGTGTGGTGCCCCCCTGCTAGTCAGGAGGGGACTCAGAATGCAGGTTACACAGAGATTATATACTTTTTAGCAAAGCATGCTGTCCTCGTGCATCGTAAGTCATAGCCAATAAACAAACTTTTTCCTTATCTACCACCTATCCCCTCTAGGCATGCTGCCCGTGCTGCCTAATTCTGCAGCTGCTTAGGCATGCGGCTAGCTTGTTTCTCAACTGCTGCCCTTATCTTCTTGTGTCCAAATGCCTCCCCTTCTCCCTCCTAGTACATGGAATGCTTGCTTCTAACTAATAGTGGGCCTGAAACACAAAATGGAGTTCCATATGCTGTTTTCCCTTAACACTATCACCATCCCCAGTATAATCTAAGAGGAAGTCAAAGAGTTATTATACATCTGACCTGCTCCTCGGTTCTACTCTATCACAAGAGATGCACTTTTCAGCCCTGGCACTACCATTTGAGCTCAGTTGCCAACCCTCCTATATCAATACTGACTACAGTGGTTCTGTCAGTTCCAGAAACCTTGGTACCACATAGAGAAACGAGCTCTACATCGATCCCCATAGTATTAGAGCCCTCAATACGGCCTCCTTCAGAGCAATCAACCTCTGCTCTGGCTACATTTGCAACATCTGGATTAACTGTTGCACTGGAACTGGAACCTAACCTTCCAAACACGACACCATTACCAACATCTACAAAGCCTCTGTCAGTACCTAGGGTACTGATAAGGAAGATTTAACTTCGTCCAGCCTCATCAGCACCCAATATCTAGATCTCAGGGAGAATTGTCTAGAACCCCCCAAAGTTCTTCAGAGATCAGCTTTTCTCTAGAGGAAGTTTATTCTTCTGAATCTTTTTCATTAGCTTATAGCAGAAGTTCTTCTTTCATAGCAGATACTCCCTGCCTGAGTAAATCCATGAGCGGGAATCAAAAAAGGTCACATCATCTTGCTGTGAGAGACATGGATCGGGCAAAGTGCAGACTCCCTGGATTCCTCCACCATGATCTCATATGCCATATCCTTATGGTATGCTATCTTGGTCTTATGAAATCCTCAACCTCGTTATTTTTTGAGCACGCCTCCACACCTCATCCAGGAATAGACGGCCTCCTACAGTTGAGCCTCCCAAATCAATGCAACAGTCTCAACAGCATGGTCTTTGTGATTCCAGACAGGATGTACAGAGTACTGATCATCATCATCTGGAGGAACGTGTGACCCCTTCTGCATCTTTGGCAATTATTTCGTCCTCCCCAGAGGAAGCAGTTAATCCTTCATTACCAGCTAAAGCTGACAATTTTATGACACTCCTGTTAATACACCCCAGTATGATATTATCCTCTTTCGCAACTGCATCACATTGTTGACTCATTCAGCATGTGAGCCATTTAACCCACAGAACCTTTTCAGCAGTACTACCACTGAGCCAGTTACTCTCCATTTTATAGTTGTGCATTTGATTTTTTTCTTCCTATGTGAAGTATTTTTTCACTTGTCATTATTGAATTTTATCTTATTGAATTCAGACTAATTCTCCAATTTGTCATGGTCATTTTGGATTCTAATCCTGTCCTCCTCAGTGCTTGCAACCCCTCCCAGCTTGCAGTGTTTCTACTAGGCCGTCTGAGTGCCAAGGGTAGTTTATCAGCATATAAGAAGGGCACACTAATGTTTTGTAGTTCTCCCGTATTCGATAAGCTTCCTTGTCATTGTCTGTTAGCCTCCTGGTTACAGCAGGGGGCTGAGGGTAGAGGTAGGGCATTTTCAGTGAGGGAAAATCAGCTCTAAAACTTCTGTTGGGCTGCCAAAACTAATTTTTTAAATTGTGTTTTACAATCTGATGACACTGTAAAGCTTATTCTCCAAAGTGGGATTTTGGGGGGTCATTGTTTTTTTGAGGGGGAAAGGTTGTTTGATTGGTTTGATATGGGGTTTTTTTGGGGGGTGGAGGAAGGGGTTGTCTCCTTGGGTGAATATAATCCGAATATGTATCCAAATCTCTTTATTATTTTCATATTACCTGAAGTCATCATACACTGATGGAAAAATGAGGTAAAGTATTTGTTTTCAATTGTGTAGCATTGCTGCCACAGAGAGCAGTATTCCTAGTTGTATGACCCTAAATAACTTCTCTGGACTGGCCTTGTGAGATTCTAAATACTTTCAGCTTCCTTGAACTTCATTGGAGTTGCGAATACTCTTGCAGGAGTACCTTGCAGCACTGGCCCCAAAAAAATAACTTTTTAAAAAAAGTATAATGCCTCATTGTATGGCCTGCTCAGAAAGCTTTCATCCTGTATAGAACATCCAGTCCAAAGAGGTTGTCTGATAGATTTTTATCTGAAAAAGTAGTATTTATTTGAAAGTGTGATGCCTAATCAGTGCAGGTTTAAATATCCTTCTGTGTTCTGCCTCTTAGGCTCACGGAACCAATTTCAGCCCTGATGTAAGCAGATGAAACTCCATAGACTTTGAGTTTTCTTACATTTATGGATTTAAATCAAACATATAATGTCATTAACTATCATCTGTGTATTTCTTCATTAATAAACTCAATGGAAAGAATGTTATGTTTATGTAACTTACAACATACATGTTGCTTTAAACAGCTGAGTGTTTTCTCATCCTTTCAGAAAGCAATGATGCAGTTTGAATGGCATGATGGGACTCTGAAAAATGTTCACGTGGACCCACCAATATTATATGACTATCAGGTGAGTTATTAATATTTGTCTAGTTGGTCCTGCTATCCAGTACTACATGCACACCTAGTTATTCCATCTCAGTCATTATCCTGCTCTGAGAAAAGGCCAGCAACAGAGAGGGTTCACAGGCACAGTGGGTTACAAAACGAGATGCTTACAGCTGTCATTACTGTATGTGCAGCATACAGGAGCCAGTAACCTGGTTGGATATATGAACAGATTCATCTAACAATGAAAAATTCTAAACAAGAGGAATAGGTCTGTCAGGAGCACTGCTGGACTAGTGCCAAACATGCTTTGTTGTCCAGCAGCAAGTTATTTTGAACATGTAGTAATTATTCCATTCTATTCTGGTTTTACGTTATTAAAAGCAGTAACTCCCAAACCCACCCTAATACAATCCTCTCCTATAATTTCATACCTTAATTACGAGTATGTCCCCATTCTATTCAGTCTGAGAAGTAAACAAGTCCAATAAAGCAGAATGCCTAGCAGTCATTGGTCAGACAAAAAAATAAAACTAGGGCATATATTGGGCGTTTAGTAAGCAAAGCACTCACAAAGCTCCGACAACTGCTCTGTGATATGGCTGCAGTCTATGGCAGTAAGACAGAGCACCCTGCTACCATGGCAGGCCCAGACAGCTGACATGCAGAAAGAAGAGACAGGCAAAGAATTCTGAGGTAAAGAATTTGATTCCAGGGCTTCATAAAACATAGATTAAACAGAAATTGTTGCCCTGCAAAACAGTGCATTGTATAAAGAGCTTCCTCCATGACCATCACCAATGAAGTGACTCTGCCGGGGTTTTCCAACTGAGCAACAGATAATGCACAACACCTGGGGGGAGGAGACTGAGGAGAGTGGTGAAAAACTAATAATACCAGATCAGTGTAGGACACTGAGGGCAACCTGTGGAAGCTTAGAATCAGAAAGTGACAGAAACATGACCGTCTATATCAAGGGGAAATTTGCAGGAATAAAAAGCGGATGATATGAGTTGTGATGCCACATGGGTCTAGATTTAGAACACCAAATCACTGCTTATTTCTACAACATGGGCTCTGTTCTGAATATGTTTCCACAGCATCCAGCACTGCTGAAATATTTTGGGGTGAGGGATAGCTCAGTGGTTTGAGCATTGGCCTACTAAACCCAGGGTTGTGAGTTCAGTTCTTGAGGGGGCCACTTAGGGATCTGGGGCAAAATCAGTACTTGGTCCTGCTAGTGAAGGCAGGGGGCTGGACTCAATGATCTTTTATGGTCCCTTCCAGTTCTAGGAGATAGGATATCTCCATTAATTTTCTTTTGTTTTTTTGTTTTGTTTCAGGTGTTTCAGGTGTACTGCTGTTACACCTAAAAAGAAGCAGTATTGTCAGGTGATAGGAGAGTAGACAGACAGGAGTCAGGAGACATAGGCAAAATTCAAAATAGAGTCTGATTTGTCATGTGACCTGAAAATTACTTACCCTTTCTGTGCCTCAGTTTCTCCATCAATTAATCAGGGTAATTCTTACCTACCATTGTAAAGCGGTTTGAGATTAATGAATGAAAAGTTCTGTATAAGTGCTAAGTGTTAATAATCATCAAAGGGCCATCATAGAAATGTTCAGTTTATAGTCCTTAGTAGCTCTGCATATCATATTTGTGAGTCACATTTTAGTCTCAGGTTTGGATGATCATTCCCACAATAGCCTTTCCATATATTTGGATGAAATGTAATTTATGTAGCCATAAATGCTAGGGCTCACCTCTGAGCAATGTAGCCAGACCGGTTAAAGAATAGAAAACAGGGAACTCTTGTCTCCTGACTATACATCTTTCTCCCCGCCCCCCCCCTTCCATAGATGCACCGGTTTGCCTTGTATGTGCAATTCAGGGTACTGTGTAATTCAGGTTTTAGAATGCCCTAAGGTCTTATCTACTCTAGAAATTTTGAACAGGAAAAGTGTTGCCAGCATAGTGCAATTATTTCAGCAGAGTTCATTCACGCTTTGTTTGTACTGGTCCATCATGTCCATAGAGCATCAGGTTAGACCAGCAAAAGGTATGTTGTACTGTGGATAAGCATTCCAGTGTCCTCCATGCTGCCTTCAGGAACACTGCCTCATGGGAAATTGTCACTGTGCATTATGAGGTAGCTGCTGTATATTGTGGGATACCTCATTCCTCTCAGGAAATTTTGGGAATTTGGGTTAAATGCACACAATTCGTTCTGTTCCACCACATAATCTACCGCTCTCATGCACCATTTTCAAACTCATAACAACATGGATGCGGCACAGAGAAGAAACTTTGTTGTATTTTCAAGGCTGCACCACTCAGGCTCAGCCGAAGATGAGTGGACAGTGAAAGTAGTGGCTAGGCTATTACAGCCGTTCATACAACTGCCTAGGGTGCTCCCGTTCAGTGAGTACCAAGTGGCACAATTGGAATGTCATGCAAACCTAAGTCAACCAGCACTGGGGTCCAGAACTTTCAGATGCAGAACTCCACATCCCTGCAGTTATGTGCTGAGCTCACCCGAGTCCTGCAGCACAGAAACACCAAGACGAGAGTTGCCCTTACAAGACGGAAATGAGTGGCAATCACCATATGGAAACTTGCAACCCTGGAATGCTGTCAAGCAGTGAGGAATCAGTTTGGCATTGGAAAATCAACAATGAAGGCAGTCATAATTGAGGTATGCAAAGCAATAAAGCATGTCCTGCTATACAGGACAATAAGGCAAGGCAACATGCAGGAAATAATAGATGGATTCAACAACATGGGCTTCCTTAACTGCTGAGACAGTAGACTACGCATGTCCCCATTCTGTGCCCTCCCGACCACCAGCCTCCAAGTAAATAAAATGGGTGTATCTTGATGGTTTTGTAGTTTGGTGGATCACCAAGTATTGATGTACTGATAACACAAAGTTGACTGGTCTGGAAAAATCCATGACACCTGGATTTTTAGAAATACATGACTTTTTGACAAACGGAAAGCTGGGACACTTTTTCCAGACATCCAATTGACATTAACAGAGTTTCTATGCCAATTGTGATTCTTAGTGACTCTACCTTCCCTTTGCTTCCCTGGTTTATGAAGCCAAACACCAGCAACTTGGACATAAGTAAGGGAAGGTTTAATTATCCCCTGTGCAGCTACAGAATGAATGTGAGTGTGTCTTTGGAAGACTGAAGGGCAGGTATTTCATGGCAAGACTCAAATTCAGCAAGGAAAATTTTCCTGCAGTTATTGCTGCATGCAGCAGATTGCATAACATCTGTGAGACCAAGGGTGAGACCCTAATGCCAGGGTAGATGAAGTGAGGTGGACAGACAGGCTGTTGGCTAAAGTCAAACAGCCTGAAAGTAAACCAGTTAACAGTGCCACCATTATCACTGTGTGGCTGAAGGAAGCTTAAGAGTGTCCTCTGACGGTGGATAGTAGCCTGACATTGTCTCATGGAATATGTACACTGACTGAGCCAGTCTTTGGATAATATGCATGAATATGACTTGTATTAGAAGTTTTAATGAGGATTGCATAAAGGCAATTTTTTTTGTAGTGCACGGGAATTATTAGCTTTAATAGCTTATTGAAATTTTTTATTGTGGTATAGAAGCCTTTCTGGTTATATGAAGTACTTTCTACCATCTCAGACAGCTCTGTAATGCCAAAAAATCACAATAAATGTGTGCAGTAACTTTCAACAATATTGAACTCTATTTAAAACACAGTAAGAAGTGCCTCACAAACAACTTTGAATTTACTAACCACACACCATAAACTATATACAATAAAGTTTAACATGCAGACTGGATGTCTTGCATCACAGATTGCAGTATGTCTAGTCAAAACATTTCTCTTTATTCCCTATGCTGTTTGTCTATTGGAATTGAGTGTAATGGGAACTACTGCAAGAAGGGTGGGTGATTCAGAGGTGAAGAGGTGTATGATCCTTACCAGCAGCCAATATTATTCATGCTTTAGAGTGGGTGGAACTGCTGCAATGATATAGTCACTGTTCAACAGTGGTGTCTGCTGCTTCAGTAGCAGCAGCATGTTTTCTGTGCCTCTGTCTTTCCATGTCTTCTCCAGCAGATTTCACACCACTCCCTAGCATTCCTCACATTTGCCTTGATCTCCTGAATAATCTCTGTAAATGTGTCCTCCTTTTTGTGTGTGTGAGCGGGGAGGGGAGGGGTTTGGATCTGATAGTTACCAGATGTTCTGCAGGTGTTGAAGTTCCCCCCACAAAGGTCACTGATAAACAGATTAAACAAATAGCAGTTGTTAGGTTTGAGGATTTAGCATTCTATGGTAGTTAACTACGCCAGCTACTCAGATTCTCCTATCTTGGGCAGTATACATTTGGGGTTAGCATCAGAATTATATGGGGATTGTAAGCATTTTAGACCATACAGGATGGTGAGTATGTGCGGGGTACTTAACCAGGTCCCTTAAATAGGGATGGGGCAGGACATGAGATACATATAAGAATAGTATAGTAAAGACTGCTGAATGAATTTCGGCAGTTGTGAATCCTTGAGGATTTATCCATCAGACGGATAGTAAAGTGGCAGAGAAGGGAGGTGTGTAAGAGGCCCAGAGGCTGCCTGGGAGTGTATGCAGCCAAGTTTGTTTTTCCCAGTGATCCACTCACAGAAGTAGTGCCGGAGTGGGAAGGGAATATGCCATACCATGGTGGTCCAACCAAGGCAACTCGGCCTGACAATAACAGGGGAAAGATTAAATACCACTTGCTAATACGATGTTCTGTAAAATTGTGGCAGCATCCCAAATCTGTGTGGGTAAAGGTTAACCAGCTATTCTGCCAGCAGCCCAAGGAACTGTAACTGTCAGTTGGGGGCGTGCAAGTTCTGGCATGTCAAGTGTAAAAGCATAATAAAGCAAGCCAAAAAAGAATTTGGAGAGCATCTATCAAAAGACTCAAAAGCTAATAGCAAAAAAAAATAAATATATTAAGTATATCAGAAGCAGAAAGTACCAAAAAATCAGTGGGGCCACTGGATGATCAAGGTGGTAAAGGTGCACTCAAGGAAGATAAGGCTGTTGTGGAGAAGCTAAATTAATTCTTTGCATCAGTCTTCACTACAGAGGATGTAAGTGAGATTCCCACACCTGAGCCATTCTTTTTAGAAGGCAAATCTGAGGAACTGTCCGAGATTGAGGTGTCGGGAGAGGAGGATTTGGAACAAATGGATAAACTAAACAGTAATACGTCACTAGGACCAACTGGTAATCACCCAAGAGTTGTGAATGAGCTCAGATATGAAATTGCATAACTACTGTCTGTGGTATGTAACCTATAACTTAAATCAGCCTCTGTACCAGATGACTGGCAGATAGCTAAAGTAACGCCAATATTTTTAAAACGTTTCAGAGGCAGTCCTGGCAATTACAGGCTCATAAGCCTGACTTCAGTACCAGGCAAATAGGTAGAAACTGTAGTAAAGAATAGAATCATCAAACACACAGATGAACAGGATATGTTGGAGAAGATTCAACAGGGCTTTTGAAAAGGGAAATTATGCATTACCAATCTATTAGAATTCTTTGAGAGGATCAACAAACGTGTGGATCCAGTGGATATAGTGTACTTGGACTTTCAGAAAGCCCTCACTAAATGTTCTTAAGCAAAGTAAGCAGTCATGTGATAAGAGGGAAGGTCCTCTCATGGATCAGTAACTGGTTAAAAGATAGGAAGCAAAGGGAGTAATAAATGGTCAGTTTTCACAGTGTAGAGAGTTAAATAGTGGGGTCCCCCAATGATCTGTACTGGGACCAGTGCTGTTCAACATATTCATAAATGATCTGGAAAAGGGAGTAAACAGTGAAGTTGAAAAGTTTGCAGATGATCCAAAATTACTCAAGATAGTTAAGTCCAAAGCAGACTGCAGAGAGTTACAGAGGGATCTTACAAAACTGAGTGACTAGGCAAGAAAATGACAGATGAAATTCAGTGTGGATAAATGCAAAGTAATCATAGAATGATAGAACTGGAAGGGACCTCGAGAGGTCATAGAACTGGATGGGACCTCGAGTCCCCTGCACTCAAGGCAGGACTAAGTGTTATCTAAACCAGTGGTTCTCAAAGCTGGTCCACCACTTCTTCAGGGAAAGCCCGTGGCGGGCCGGGCTGGTTTGTTTACCTGCTGCGTGCGCAGGTTCGGCCGATCACGGCTCTCACTGGCCGCGGTTCGCCGCTCCAGGTCAATGGGGGCTGCGGGAAGCGGTGCGGGCCGAAGGATGTGCTGGCCGCCCTTCCCACAGCCCCCATTGGCCTGGAGTGGCGAATCTTTCCTCCATAGAAATTCAAAGACCTAAATGCCAGTGTCCCTCCCTATGATTAAAATCAAGTATTTTATATACGGTGGAACAACTTCGCTTCTAATGAGGAAGTTTTAAAGACTATGGAGTTATAGCCAAAATGATTGAAATGTGATTGCATCAAGTGACATTAACAGATGAGGAACTAAAATGCACAAAGGGCAATTATGAGCAAGCTAAACTATCATCTGACATTCCTGTGGTCAGTGGAGATTGAGAGTCAGAGAACCACGGAGCCCTTTTAGTTTCTTCATCATTTTTCTGTGTATCTTATTTGCAGATGTTTTAACGGAATACATGAACTGTAAGGGTACTGGAAACTTTTTACCATAACGGATCATTTCCATCAGTTTAAATACTTGGATTTTATTCACTAAAATGTGTATAGTTTGTAATAGTCAATTATCCTATTTTTAGGTCAACAAATATTTGGAAATACAGATTTAGTCTGAAATAGAAACATGTTAATTTAGATTATTTTAAAAATCACCATTCATCAGTTGTCTATATTTTGTTCACAGAAACAGCTTGATAGAATGGTGAGAACGTATGAGAGGCGAATAGACTGGCTTTCTATCGCTAGTAGAAGAATATGGGGAACTGTTTGTGAACGGAGGTATTAATATTGGGCATTCTGGGTCCCTGTTGCAGAAGTGGCATCCTAATTTGGCAGTGTTAACTTTGTGCCTGTAAATGAGCATAGAGACACAGTACAGAAAATGTACACTCCTAAATGCATCATTTGCAGATAAGTGATGTGTGCATGCAATTTAAGTATCCATTTTTGAAAATTAATATTGTACTGTTCAGCATGTAGGTATATCTTTTTATTATTGATGATGAGGTGTTCATTGGACCATAAAGACACTAAAGTTCAAATATACTAGAAAAGAATCCATAGCTTCAATGAGACCAGTTAAAATACACATTTACATTTGAGTATCAGAGGGGTAGCCGTGTTAGTCTGAATCTGTAAAAAGCAACAGAGGGTCCTGTGGCACCTTTAAGACTAACAGAAGTATTGGGAGCATAAGCTTTTGTGGGTAAGAACCTCACTTCTTCAGATGCAAGTAATGGAAATCTCCAGAGGCAGGTATAAATCGGTATGGAGATAATGAGATTAGTTCAATCAGGGAGGGTGAGGTGCTCTGCTAGCAGTAGAGGTGTGAACACCAAGGGAGGAGAAACTGTTTCTGTAGTTGGATAGCCATTCACAGTCTTTGTTTAATCCTGATCTGCTGATGTCAAATTTGCAAATGAACTGGAGCTCAGCAGTTTCTCTTTGGAGTCTGGTCCTGAAGTTTTTTTGCTGTAAGATGGCTACCTTAACATCTGCTATTGTGTGGCCAGGGAGGTTGAAGTGTTCTCCTACAGGTTTTTGTATATTGCCATTCCTGATATCTGACTTGTGTCCATTTATCCTCTTGCGTAGTGACTGTCCAGTTTGGCCAATGTACATAGCAGAGGGGCATTGCTAGCACATGATGGCATATATAACATTGGTGGACGTGCAGGTGAATGAGCCGGTGATGTTGTAGCTGATCTGGTTAGGTCCTGTGATAGTGCTGCTGGTGTAGATATGTGGGCAGAGTTGGCATCGAGGTTTGTTGCATGGGTTGGTTCCTGAGTTAGAGTTGTTATGGTGCGGTGCGTGGTTGCTGGTGAGAATATGCTTAAGGTTGGCGGGTTGTCTGTGGGCGAGGACTGGCCTGCCTCCCAAGGTCTGTGAAAGTGAGGGATCATTGTCCAGGATGGGTTGTAGATCACTGATGATGCGTTGGAGAGGTTTAAGCTGGGGGCTGTAGGTGATGGCCAGTGGAGTTCTGTTGGTTTCTTTTTTGGGCCTGTCTTGTAGCAGGAGGCTTCTGGGTACACGTCTGGCTCTGTTGATTTGTTCCTTTATTTCCTTGTGTGGGTATCGTAGTTTTGAGAATGCTTGGTGAAGATCTTGTAGGTGTTGGTCTCTGTCTGAGGGGTTGGAGCAGATGCGGTTGTACCTCAGTGCTTGGCTGTAGACGATGGATCGTGTGGTGTGTCCGGGGTGGAAGCTGGAGGCATGAAGGTAGGCATAGCGGTCGGTGGGTTTTCGGTATAGGGTGGTGTTAACGTGGCCATTGCTTATTTGTACTGTGGTGTCCAGGAACTGGACCTCCCGTGTAGATTGGTCCAGGCTGAGGTTGATGGTGGGGTGGAAGCTGTTGAAATCATGGTGGAATTCTTCCAGGGTCTCCTTCCCATGGGTCCAGATGATGAAGATGTCATCAATGTAGCGTAGGTAGAGAAGGGGCGTGAGTGGACGAGAGCTGAGGAAGCGTTGTTCCAGGTCAGCCATAAAGATGTTGGCATATTGTGGGGCCATGCGGGTGCCCATAGCGGTGCCACTGGTCTGGAGGTATATATTGTCACCAAATTTGAAATAATTGTGCGTGAGGATAAAGTCACAGAGCTCAGCAATAAGTTGTGCTGTGTCATCATCAGGGATACTGTTCCTGACAGCTTGTATTCCATCTGTGTGTGGGATGTTTGTGTAGAGAGCCTCTACATCCATGGTGGCTAGGATGGTGTTTTCTGGGAGGTCACCAATGCATTGTAGTTTTCTCAGGAAATCTGTGGTGTCACGGAGATAGCTGGGAGTGCTGGTGGCGTAGGGTCTGAGTAGGGAGTCCACATATCCAGACAGTCCTTCAGTGAGAGTGCCAATGCCCGAGACGATGGGGCGTCCAGGATTTCCAGGTTTGTGGATCTTGGGTAGTAGATAGAATAACCCCGGTTGGGGCTCTAAGGGTATGTTGATTTGTTCCTGTGTTAGTGTAGAGGCAATGCCCCTCTGCTATGTACATTGGCCAAACTGGACAGTCACTACGCAAGAGGATAAATGGACACAAGTCAGATATCAGGAATGGCAATATACAAAAACCTGTAGGAGAACACTTCAACCTCCCTGGCCACACAATAGCAGATGTTAAGGTAGCCATCTTACAGCAAAAAAACTTCAGGACCAGACTCCAAAGAGAAACTGCTGAGCTCCAGTTCATTTGCAAATTTGACACCATCAGATCAGGATTAAACAAAGACTGTGAATGGCTATCCAACTACAGAAACAGTTTCTCCTCCCTTGGTGTTCACACCTCTACTGCTAGCAGAGCACCTCACCCTCCCTGATTGAACTAACCTCGTAATCTCCATACTGATTTATACCTGCCTCTGGAGATTTCCATTACTTGCATCTGAAGAAGTGAGGTTCTTACCCACGAAAGCTTATGTTCCCAATACTTCTGTTAGTCTTAAAGGTGCCACAGGACCCTCTGTTGCTATTTACATTTGAGGTATCTAGGAAATGACCCTTTGGGAAATGTTCGGTCTTAAATCCCATGTAAACAGAGCCTGATGTGTATGGCCATAAAGGCTAAAACATTAAGGCCCTTCCTGCAAACCATGTTGGGCCATCTGTACTTAGTGTTAAAGCTTCCTACTGTGAAGGCTCAGACACCAAATCTTCCACCCAGCCCCACTCATTCACTTAATCCTTTTTTCCCCCAAGAATCTATATGGAGTTATGAACCACAGTTAAAATGGTGGGAGACCACTCTTCTCACCTTTTGAGCTGTATTGCATGGGTCCAGGTCCAGCATTAGGGTTAAACAAAACACAGTGTGGAATAAGTAAGGGCCCAATCCCGGAAACACTTACAGGGACTATTCATGTGATTAAAGTTAGGCATGTGCATTATTGTTTGCTGGATTGGGACCATAATATGGCTCAATCTCATTATGTTAGATAGTGATTATTTAAAATCAAACAGTCACTGACTAACACAATGCTATAGATCAGTGATACTCAGACTGAGGTTCCCAAGCCGCAAATGACTCTTTAATATGTCTCCTGTGGCTCTTTGCAGCACATGATATTAAAACACTGTGATTTAATTATTAACCAATCAGAATGTTTTTACTATGTTATTAACCAATTGTAGTTGATAAAATAATAATAATTGGTCAGTCATTTTGCTGTGAGAATTATTCCGTGTGTGTGTGTGTGTGTAAGGGCTGTCGATTAATCGCAGTTAACTTGCAATTAACTAAAAAAATTAATTGTGATTTAAAAAATCTCAGGAAAGCTTATGCCCAAATAAATCTGTTAGTCTTTAAGGTGCCACCAGACTCCTTGTTGTTTTTGTAGATACAGACTAATACGGCTACCCCCTGATACTTGATGATTAATCACACTGTTAAACAATAGAATACCAATTGAAATTTATTAAATATTTTGGATGTTCTTCTACATTTTCAAATATATTGATTTCTATTACAACACAGAATACAACATGTACAGTGTTCACTTTATATTATTTTTTATTACAAATATTTGCACTGTAAAAATGATAAACAAAAGAAATAGTATTTTTCAATTCACCTCATACAAGTACTGTAGTGCGATCTCTTTATTGGGAAAGTGCAACTTACAAATGTAGATTTTTTTTGATTGTTACATAACTGCACTCAAAAATAAAAGTGTAAAACTTTAGGCCCTATAAGTCCATTCAGTCTTACTTCTTGTTCAGCCAATCGCTCAGACAAACAAGTTTGTTTACATTTACAGGAAATAATGCTGCACACTTGCTTACAATGGCACTTGAAAGTGAGAACAGGCATTCGCATGGCACTTTTGTAGCCGGCATTGCAAGGTCTTTACATGCCAGATATGCTAAACATTCGTATACCCCTTCATGCTTCTGCCACCATTCCAGAGGACATGCTTCCATGCTGATGATTCTCGTTAAAAATATAATGCATTAATTAAATTTGTGACTAAACTCCTTGGAGGAGAATTGTATGTCTCCTTCTCTGTTTTACCCGCATTCTGCCATATATTTCATGTTATAGCAGTCTCTGATGATGACCCAGCACATGTTGTTCGTTTTAAGAACACTTTCACTGCAGATCCGATAAAATGCAAAGAAAGTACCAATGTGAGATTTCTAAAGATAGCTACAGCACTTGACCCAAGGTTTAAGAATATAAGGTGCCTTCCAAAATCTAAGGGGGACGAGGTGTGGAGAATGCTTTCAAATGTCTTAAAAGAGCAACACTCCGATGCGGAAACTACAGAACCCGAACCACCAAAAAAGAAAATCAACCTTCTGCTGGTGGCATCTGACTCAGATGATGAAAAGGAACATGCGTCGGTCCGCACTGCTTTGGAGGTTATCGAGCAGAACCCGTTTTCAGCCTGGACATATGTCCTCTGAAATGGTGGTTGAAGCATGAAGGGACATATGAATCTTTAGTGTATCTGGCACATAAATATCTTGCAATGCTGGCTACAACAAAACAATGTAAAACTTTAGCGCCTACATGTCGACTCAGTCCTACTTCTTGTTCAGCCAATTGCTAAGAGAAACAAGTTTGTTTACGTTTACAGGAGATAATGATGCCCGCTTCTTATTTACAGTCACCTGAAAGTGAGAACAGGCATTTGCATGTTTTGTTTTTGTTATGTAACAAAAAAAATCGACATTTGTAAGTTGCACTATCATGATAAAGAGATCGCACTACAGTACTTGTCTGAGGTGAATTGAAAAATACTTTTCTTTATCTTTTTTACAGTGCAAATATTTGTAATAAAAAATAATATAAAGTGAGCGCTGAACACTTCGTATTCTGTGTTGTAACTGAAATCAATATATTTGAAAATGTAGAAAAACATCAAAATATATTTATAATAAATTTAAATTGGTATTCTGTTATTGTTCAACAGTGCGATTAAAACTGCGATTAATCACGATAAATTTTTTTACTTGTTTGACAGCCCTATTAGTCACATGAATTGTCCCTGTGTTTCCAGGATGCGGCCCTTGCTTATTCCATACTAAGCGTGTTTTGTTTTACCCTAATACTGCGGGGGTGTGGGGGGAAGAGATCTATTACTTCATAGATTTTAAGGCCAAAACTTGAACAATAATTAATTCAGTAGTGATTAAAATATCTAAACAGAGAGACAGAAATATTGTCTGTGATTTGGGTCTTTTTTAATTAAGGCATGTGTTCCTTGTTTAGGGTTGTTATACTTGTTGATATCTCAGTAACAAATTCCTTGTACATCATTCATATCCAACATTCCCTGCGACTTTTACTTGAAGAACAAATGTCAAACAAGGATTTCTTCAATATTATAGCGTAAGTAGCTGATCAAAAATATTTTTCTTTAAACGATTACCTATAACTCATTGTGGGCAAGCAGTACACTGGTAGCTAAATAGAAAAATGACATGAAAGATGGCTAACTAGCTATTGAAGATTGTCAATGTCTTTTCTGATTTAGATGATATTTTACAGTCTTTTTGTGATTGAATAATTACAAGAATAGCCTATGAAAGCCACCCTAATTTGCCCTTATCATCATTTTAAATAGTTGAAATATACAGAGGCCAGTCTGGTAATTAAGGATCATCATCTACTTTATGATGTTTATGCTGCATGATTTTGCACATTTCAAATAACAAATACTGTGCATATTATAGTATTGAGAACAGTTGCAAAATTCAAGTGTCAAAAACATCACATTTTAAAAAATAATTGGGTTTCTCAGGTCCCTCCACTGCAAAATCCCTCTTGCAATTTACAAGAGTCATAAATACAATAGTGTATGAACTTTGAATAGTATTTTTCCTAGTATACAACAATGCTAAAATTCCTTAATACACAGGTAGGTGTGAAATGTTCCATGGTTTGAAACAGAAACTGATATCAGACGACAAACATCTGTAATGCTAGATTTTATCTAGGGAATTTACATTGTACCCTTGTGAGCTATAATTTGAAAATGTAACTGCTGTTTTGTTTTCTCCAAAGATTTGGAAGTGACATCAAGTCTTGGAAACCAGAAATGGTTCCTTCAAATCCAGAAAATTTACAAAGTGCCTGGAGGTACAATCAAATTATAACTTGCTTATATTTATGAATTTAGTGAAAGTACTTATCCTAGAACAAATGTAGCATAGAACCAGGTTTAACCAGAGAAGTGAACAATTTTGCAGATTTAAAAAGTTTAATATGGTGTGCTGTACTATAGTTTGTGTAGTTCTACTCTGAAAAATGACTTGTGAAAACAGCGTGATAGCATTTAATATTTAGTGTGTTGAAATTATTTCCATATCATATGTGCTCCATTTAGAAGTGTACAGGTATTTTTTAAAATAATTGCCAAACCTTCAGATTCAACCTGAGAGCTGAAAGTCAATCCGGATTCTTTCTTTCCTATATACTGGCACCACTCTGCATGCCAAATTATGCCCTCATTGACCCTATGCAGTCCCATTGTATTCAGAAGATCTGCACAGATGTAACTGAATGGAATTTAGTAAACAGTTCTGTTGATGCATGAGTGTAGAATTATGAGTTAACATGGAATCTCATATTACAGCTTTCCTATATAATGTGCATTAATAATCCTTCTGCCTTAAGACTGTGCCTTGACCCTTTTCAAAGTGGCTAGTTTGCTGCTGTGGCTGCAGTACAAAAATTAGGCCTGTCCACTTGGGCCATTGTATCATCGGGCTGTGCTGAGTGTCATAATTCAAAAGCTATTTCTATATTCCAGTGCATCACCATGAGATTTTAGTTTGAGACACTGGGTTTAGTGACTTTTAGTGCTTCTTTGCATTCTTATTATTAGTAAAACTCTCTTTCTAGATGGGTGTTGAGCCTGCAGTGCAAAGGCAGTAGAAATTTCATGAGTGCTCTAAGAACAGCAGTGGAAGTAGACCTCAAAGATAAAGACAAACATGTATCTCAAGGACTTTATCTGCTTACCACTGGAGTTCCTGACCAGGATATGGTAGGTATCAATACAAAATTTTGTATGTTCTTTGTAAATATTTATTGCTTATTCAGAATTAATCTAAAACTTTTTTCAGCTACCTCCTGTAGTTTGGTGATAGAACACTTGTCTTTCATATAAGAAAGCCTGTCAACCATACCAGGATCTGTGACTTCACCTCCCGAAATTATTCATTCTTATATAACTCAAGGCAGGAAATATTGCTGGGTGAATCTCAAAAGGTTCTGGATGTTTTTCTGTGACCCGCCCCTCAACACTCACTGGCACTATAGATCCCTTTTCTAGTGACAGCAGGATCTTCCTTGCCCACTCCTGCCTCTATTTGGCAAATCCTCATCAGCCCCTCCTCCCCCCTCCCATGCCCCATCTGCAGGAGAAGACAACAGTCCACTCCCTCTTCAGCCAGGCCACACATCCTTCTCCAGACAGAAGAGGATTTAAATTATAAGGAGAAATCTCTCATCAGTTCTGTAGCTAACTCTAGAGTACATTTACTTAAAGTTAAGCTCTGAGGGTCAGATCCTTAGTTGGTATGAAGCGATATAGTGACTTCAATTGAATGACATTGATTTACACCAGCTAAGAATCTGGCCCTGCAAGTCAATAAAATAGTCACTCTTCTGAAGTTCATGGTAGTAGCCTTTCTTTTTGTCTTGTAGCATGCAGTTAGTACTTACGTGGCCGATGTCTGTGGAGGTTGTGATTTGCAGCTTCATGTCTGTCTGTTCAGTGTAAATGGTTTTGACCCCAATGGCATTATTCCATCTCGTTATGCCAATCCAAATGAAACCGCCAGCACGTTTAGAGAAATAGCACATGCTGCCAATGGAAGGTTTCATTGGTTTGGAGAAACAGGTATGTTTTTTAACTTCCATCTTAATATGTTCCTCCTCTATTGGGCAAGTCTGTAATGCACTATTACAGGCAACTGTTTCCTGAGATAAATATCTTAACACAATGTAAAGGAGAAGCTATTATACTGGCACTGAAGTAGACAGAGTACTCATCCCGGTTAAGGCCTCTAGGTGCTATTGCAATATAAAAGTTTAATGATGATGCAGGATTTCTGTACTTTAGTATTTTAGAACCTACCATATGTACTCGTTCATAAGCCGAATTTTTTTAGTAAAAAAAGGAAGCACCAGAGAAGGGGGTCAGCTTATGAACGGGTATAGAGAGGGAGAGGTGGGACACAGCCCCTCCCCCCAACAGAGGGAGCAAGGAGAGGCAACAGAGCCAGCAGGGAAGAGGCAGGGCCAGAGTCTCTCCGCTTCTGGCCACGCTGCTCTTCCCCCAGCCTCCGAAGCAGATCCAGCTCCGGGGCTGGCAGGCTGCAGCCTTGCCGCTCGGCCCCGCCCCCCAGAGCAGGCTGTGGCCGTGCCGCCCGGCCCAGCCCGCTGGAACATGTTGTGGCCGCGCCACCCTGTCTGGCCCGCCAGAGCAGGCTGCAGCCGCGCTGTCCAGCCTGCCGGCGCAGCTCCAGCCAGGCCAGACACATCCTCCCCTGGCCCTCCCTAGATAAGGTGGGAAAGGATGGGATGGGGAGAGTGTGGGGTCCCGGCCTACAGGTGGGGTCATGTGGGAGGTGGTCATAGGGGTTACTCCTCTGACCCCCAGCTTCTCCCCCCAAAAAAAATTTCCCCACCAGTTGCTGTCCCGGCCCGTCAGGGTAAGCAGCTGGCACTCCGGGACACTTTGTTTATTTAGGTTTACCTCCATGCCCGCGGATGATCGAGATAAACAAACCATCTCGGCCCACCAGCAGCTTATCCTGGTGGCCCGGGAGCCAAAGTTTGCTGACCCCTGAATTATAGGGTCGGTTTATGAATGGGTTATAAAAATTTTCCATTTTTACTTATCCATCTTGGGGGGGTCGGCTTATAAACGAACCAGCTTATGATCAAGTATATACTGTAATTAGAAACTAATGTAATAATAAGTCAACTCCGGATAGGCATTTCTAAAGACAAACATTTTAAAGTTTTTAATTACTTATAAAGTGTGGGCTAAATTATATCTAGCCCTTATGAAGTACACACTTTACTTTTTGTTCTCTTTTTCTGTTGATTTTTTTGTATGCTCTGCAAGTTGCAATATACTTTCTTTAAAATAATTACCTATTGATAAGCATATGTTTAATTACCAGGCATTTATGAAAGTGATGATATCAGTATTATTGTGTCTGAAATGGAAAAAGCAGTCAACTACTCCCAAAAGGTATGCTTTAAAAATACCATTTTAAATTTTCTTTAGAAAATAGCTCTACAATATTTGTTCAGTTGATGGAGTTCAGGCATTAGCTACGAAATCAAAATAATTTATAAGATAGTGCATGATTTAGGATAATATAAAGTAAAAATAGAGTTCTGCTCTGGAAAGCAACTATAAAACTGGCCTTGTGGTGTTCCATGTTTGTGTTTCAATGATTCCATATCAAATATGATGAGTTTATAAGTAAAAGGATGCTCTTTTTATCTGCCAATCCTGTAAACTCAGCCTGGGCTTTGAGAGTCAAGCTGGGTGGTTCTTGCACATCACCAGTAATAAAGATTCTGCAGCCAAATTATGCCCTTAATTATTTGTGAACAACCCAAATGGAAATAATAAATATAACTGTGGGCATAATTTGGCCTGCAGAATCTTTATTACTGGTGAAGGTACACAAAATGGTCAGAACTCTGCTGTGTAGTCTAATCAAGTTGTAGTTCAGTCTAGTGGATAAGGCACTGGGATTGGGAATCAGGAGGCCTGGGTTTCCTTCCCCTCTCTGCCTTTGTCCTACTGTGTGATCCATGGGCCAGTCACTCCATCTCTCTACACCTCTGTTTCCACTCCCATCTTTGTCTGTCTTGTACATGTAGATTGTAAACTCTTTGTGGCAGGGACTGGCTCTTACTTTGTACAGCACCTAGCGGAATGGGGCATTTAGGCACGGCTGTAATACAAGTGATAAAAAATTGATTCTTCGTACCCAGGTTGATTTTGCATTGCCATCAGTTTTACTTGTAAACTAAGGTAATATAATATGGAATCATTTATATACAACAAAAATGGACATTTGATTTGTTCTCAAATTACATTCAACGTAATGTCATGCATTTGACGTGCCTGTTTCTTTCGGAAATGGTTCTTCTGACTAATGCTAAAATTAGAAACCTTGAGGTAAATGTTCAAAAATCTACCCCTCATCATCTGCCCCCGTTGTTGAAAATCTACCTCATCAACTAAGGAAACATGTAACGTCTGTATGTAGGTTATTTGATTGTTTTTACTATGTTTTTTTCTGTAATGCTCTCTCCTTAAGAATAAAAGTGCTTGCTTAGAAAGGTCTGTGTGGCAACTTATAAATGTTCACACCCTCTGAGGAGAAAACAAAACATAGATGCACGCCTGTTTAGGCAGTCAGGTTTGCCAAGGAACTCACACTGTTGGCAAGGAACTGTGCAGGCTGGAAAAAAAACAGTTAGGAGGGACAAAGACCTGGGTCTCCCCCCCAAGAGATATGATGGCTGAGGAGCCAAGAAGCCTAGAGTAGGCTATACCATGGAGGGGGTTGCACATGCAGTTGTCCCAAGCTGTCACAGGTGTAATATAGTTACAGTTTAAAAGCTGAGTTTCTAATATATGGAAGACCCTGAGGAAGGTATATTGTATTCTGATATCTTTGTTGCTCAGGCAAATGCAGAGGGAAGGAGATTCCATTGACAAAAACTAGGTAGATATTCAGGAGAGTCTTATGATATATGTCTTATTTATTGCTTGTATCATTTTAAATTAACCACCTAGTGTTCACATAGCTAATCTCTGTAAAATATTTCGTTGTTGGCTTTGTCCTCTCTCTCCCACTCAATCCTGTTTGTTACACCAACTTATCTGTGCCTCGTTTTAAATCAGATTGTGTACTCTTCAGGACAGGAATTTTCTTTGTGTGTTTGTGCAGTGCATAGCACAGTGGGGCTCCAATCCTGACTGGGACAGGTAGGTGTTGCTGTATTACAAATAAGGAATAGTAAGGTGGCTGTTTAAAATGTATACTTAAATTGCCTGCAAAGGAACTGTTAAGCTGAGCAACAATCTGAATTTTCATTTCAGTGTGCCTTGCTGGTGGAATCCTTAAAGCAACGTTCAGGAACTCAGTTGGTTAATCAGTTTATCCCAGAAGAAGGTTTAAAGATGCTCTTAAAAAAGGAGAGAACTAGAGCACAGAAATTGCTGCCTCCTAAACCTACAGCTCTCACTCTGGCTAGAATGGTTTGATTTCATTTATTACCCATATTTTAAAGATATACTCGTTCATAAGCCGAATATTTTTAGTAAAAAAGGGAAGCACCAGAGAAGGGGGTCGGCTTATGAATGGGTATAGAGAGAGAGAGGTGGGATACAGCCCCTCCCCCCCCCCCCAACAGAAGGAGCAAGGAGAGGCAGCAGAGCCAGAAGGGAAGAGGCGGGGCCAAAGTCTCTCCACTTCTGGCCACGCTGCTCTCCCCGCAGCCTCTGAAGCAGCTGCAGCTCCGGGGCTGGCAGGCTGCAGCCATGCCGCTCGGCCCCACCCCCCAGAGCAAGCTGTGGCCATGCCGCCCAGTCCAACCCGCTGGAACTTGCTGCAGCCACACCGCCCAGTTTGGCCCACCGGAGCAGGTTGCGGCCGCACTGCCCAGCCTGCCGGCGCAGCTCCAGCCAGGCCAGACACATCCTCCCCAAATAAGGTGGGAAGAGATGGGATGGAAAGAGTGTGGGGGTCCCGGACTAGGGGTGGGGTCATGTGGGAGGTGGTCACAGGGGTTACTCCCCTGACCCCCAGCTTCTCCCCACAAAAAAATTTCCCCACCAGTTGCTGTCCCGGCCCATCAGGGTAACCCGCTGGCATGCTGGGACACTTTGTTTACTTAGGTTTACCGCCGTGCCTGCAGACGCTCGAGGTAAACAAACCATCTCGGCCCGCCAGCGGCTTATCCTGATGGCCCAGGAGCCAAAGTTTGCTGACCCCTGAATTATAGGGTCGGCTTATGAACGGGTCATAAAAATTTTCCATTTTTACTTATCCATCTTGGGAGCGGGGGGAGGGTTTTGGCTTATAAATGAACCAGCTTATGATCAAGTATATACAGTAATCTGTTTTAGTGAGTGACAATACACAAGAGGTCAGATGCTGCCCTTTGGAAGAGGAAAGTGCTTAAGATGGAAATTTTAGGGAATATCTTTTTGGTAAAATACCATAATAATACTCAGCAATTATATAGCACTTTATGTTGAGTGCTACATAAACATTATCAGTAAGTAATCCTCTTAACAACCATGTGAGGTAGGCATAGTGATACCTGCCAGGTGGTACAAGAGACCACACTTGTAATGCAACCTCCTGGCCTAGGAAACTGCACCAAAGTATATACAAACATAGCAAGTACAGTTTTGCATTGCTTCTGTTTAAAAAAAAACAATTCTGAATAGCCAGTTTTGTCAGTCCCTTGAGTGGCAACTTATGAGAGATGCTGCAATATATCATCTCCATTTTATAAATGAGACTGAAGCAGAGAAGTGGCTTTCCCAAGGCCACACAGTGAGTCAGTATCAGAACCATGATTAGAATTCAAGACTTTTTGCCTCCTGACCCTTTGCTGGAATAGTCTCAGTGGATAATCTCAACAACTGTTCCATGATAAATTATCCAAGACAGTATTTACCAAATATCCCATAAAAAACACAGGACAAATGTATAATACAAGACATGATATGAAGCATTGTTGTATACTTAGAGATGTGAAAATCTTCACAGAATTCTCGGTAGAAGTCTAGTGATCCTTTAATGTTCTCTTTAGCCATAGTTAGGGTTTGTCAGCTAGAGGTGATCAGGTTTGTTATGCTGTTTGCTCCAGAACGTCCTCTGTACATTCAGTGGTAAAGCAAAGGTCTGACCCTACTGTTGAAGCCAACAGGATTTCAATGAGAAAATACAGCATAGTGAATTAATTGGGGTGGGATGCTCCTGGAAGTTAGCCTGTGCTAAAACTCATCTGCAAGTTTGTCATTGATACCAGAGTAAAATGGAGATAGAAAATAGGCCCTAGTGTATTGAGTGTGAGAATTCTGTAACAAGATGCAGTCAAAAGGAAATGTTTAGAAGATTCACTCATTATCTGTGCTTTTAGAATATCAAAGACAATCATGAGGGGGAAAAAAATGCTGCCTTAAAAGCTCTGACATGGCGTCCAACTAGTGCCAAAGCAGAAATCCCACCACGTATGTATAGATAAAGTTCATTATTTTATATCGAAAGCCACTGGAATAGTTAGATTAGAACAAGTGTGTTTATCTTCGCAAACACTTTCTAGAACCTGATTATACACTTCTTAACCAGACAGCTATGACAACTAGGAAACAGGACAATTGTTTTCAAAGTAAAGCCATTTCAGTTTAGAAAATCAGAATTGATTTGGTTCTAAATTCATATTCCATCATCTCTTGAAGTTTCAGCCAGTGAGGAGTAATATGTATTGTTACTTGCCTTCCCCAATGATTATGGTGTTAATCTCTCAACCTCAGATTCATAAATCTGTTCATTTTACCTCTTTGTAAGTGTCTAAGCTTGTTGATCCCCACTTGTATATGGAGAACATGAGTGAATTAATAATATTTGACCATTTTTATCTACATGTAAAATCTTTTAGGTATTTCGATCTGTGACCATGTAAAATTATGACATGAATAGTACAGTGGAGTAACATTGCAAAAGCAGGCATGATTGTCCTATCTGAAACAATACAATATTTACTATTATATTGTAGCTCAGCCGATAAAAGAATGGACTCAGACTTCTGTGAAGAAGAAACATAAATCAAGAAAACAGTCACAGATCTCCCTCTCAGTATTTTATATTGACAAAGGAAAAAATGTGGGTAAGTGCTCTCAGCATCTGACAGCTAAATATTTGTCTTTTTACTTACAAAACTATTTAGATATTAATTCACTGAACACCAGCAAGCTTTTTACACTGATTTTTACGCATAGGAGAAATGTATGGAAAATGGTTTGTCAAATGGTGAACAGTACAACCAGTGATTTATTTTATGCTTTCATTGATTTCCTGCATGATCTTGGCCAAATCACTTCTCTCTACATCATTTCAGTATATGTACACTGAATGGAATGACATTTACCCACCTTTGTAAAGTTCTTTGAAATAATCTGCTCAAAGATATTATAAGTCAATAGTATTATCGTTGTCGTATGAGCCCATGTGGAAAAGTTTGGATCACAATGCTCCACAGCAAATACAAGTTTAAAAGGGAAGTGACATTTTTTATATACAAAATGTTTTAGAGAATCTTAGGCACATATATTATGCCAACTACAGAAAAGATCCCATTGACTTAAGCATGGCCATGATTTCACCCAGAGTGTCTAATTTCACTTTTTTTCTGCTCTGGCTAGGTGCAGTTTACAGAAAGTATCCAAAGGAAAAAAGCGTGAGGAGGTCTGTTCCTGTTGCTACACTGCCAAAGGAAGAGGAAATATGTTCAAGCAAAGAGGTATTCAGTTATTTATTAATGTTACCACCATCTTTATTAGACCACTTAAGAGAAATGAACATTGAAAATGAGTATTTGTGACTTAGACAAATATAGTTTTGCATGTGGTTTTAATATTTGCTGTCATAGATCTAGTTAAGTTAACAGAGTGCTCTATTTTTTCTCTTTAAAAGTGGTTGAACAAGTACAGTATAAAAAAGTTGAAGTTAGAGTTGCCCAGAATTATGTTTGGTCCCAACTGTGTTCACCAGAAGAAAATGGTCGAGTCTTTGCACAAGAAAGTGTCAGCAAAATACTGTACCATCTTCCCCAGTGTGGAAATCAATGTAAGTTGATGCAGATATCATGAACCCTTGTATTTGAGGTGCATATCATAACATGGTTTTGTATTCATTTAACACAGTTCCAGTTGGTCTCTAATTGTGCCAAACCAGTGTTAAATTTACACTATGGGTTAGATTATTATCTTTCCCGCAGTATACAAAAACAACAGGATCTATCTGTTAATAAGAAGCTGTATATTATTTTAAAATTATTGTGGGTAATATACAGTACACCTGTACGAATATATGTATGCACTTAATATCCCTAGACTAGTTCTAGATTAAGATCTCTTCTGCCCCAGCAATTTGAAAGGAAAAAGACATAAAGGGCTAAATCTATCCGTTCTGACTCGAATAAATTTCTCACTGAAATCAGTAAGAGTTGTGTGTGAGTAGAAGCTGATGGATTTGGTTCAGGCTGTAAACATTTCCATGTAATTAGTTAAAGTACAGATAATTCAACAATCTGAGGGAAACAGCAATTTACCCTAAGGTATTGATCAATGGTCTGTCACCTAACTAAAGTGACACCATAAAAATACAAGAAATAAATGTATCCAGTCAAATTGCATATGCACCCTCGTTTGACTAGAACCAGGTTTTCCTAATGTGGTTAAACCTACAACAGCTGCCAAAGGTGTAATATGGGAGCTCTCCTACATCACTGCCTTCAGCCACTATATCATGGGTGTTCTAGATGGTAACATTCATGTCCCTGAGCAGCCATATAGACTGACATGGCAGCATAGTACATGTCTGCTGAAATAAGACATTCTTCTACCAATGGTGTAAATTGTTCTAGGGTATTGTGAAACACCTACAATTTCAGCCTAAGGAACTAGAAGCCTATGTTGAACAAATGGAGAGGGTGTTACGTTGCTATATACGAAGAATACAGTGGCTTCTCTCAGGTAGGCTTTACATTTGGAATAGGGATGAGGTTATAATCCATGGTTGTGCAAGTGTAATCCAAGCATGATTAAAATATTTCCTCTTGCCTACTCCTCCTACTGGCATAAAATGTGGACAAAATAGTAAACATTAGGTCTGAATAAGGAGCTAGTGTATCTATTATTCCATGATTATTTAGTTGCACAATTTGCTGAAGGATCCACTCCCTTGTCCTCTCCTTGCTGCAGAATTGTGCTCCAGAATCTAAACTTTCATTTTTTTAAATTAATGTTTATGGTAAAGTCCTCATGGTTGTAAAGAAAACCTTGAAAGATCAACTAAGGTATGTACACTGCAATGAAAAACACACAGTTGGCCCATGCCCTCTGACTTGGGCTCGCGGGGCTCAGGCTGCAGGGCTGTTCCATTGCAGTGTAGGCTTTCTGGGCTCAGGATGGAACCTGAGCTTTGGGACCCTCCCACCTTGCAAGGTCCTCCAGCCCAAACCAAGAAGTCTACACTGCAATGAAACAGCCCCACAGCCTGAGCCCCAGGAGCTTGAGTCAGCTGGCATGGGCCAGCTGCAAGTTTTTATTTACAGTGTAGACATACCTTAAGTGCAAACTTGGCATGCAATATTCTCTTCCAGAGTCTGCGGAGAGTTTGAAACACTAGCTTTGAGTGGTGGGAACTGCCTCTGTTAATCTCAATAGGGTATTAACCCTAAAACCCAAAGATTTCAAGGCAATCCAAGTAACTGTGTGGAATTTAGAAGAGTCCATCTTTAAACAGAAAGCTTTTCTAAACCTTAATTGCAGCATAATTGGTACTCTGCTATAATCGGTTAAATACTAACACTAAACATTTCACTGCAGATCATTTTAATAAAAACATCTATTTAATGTGCTTATCCCACAAATCCAAATGGTTTGTCATGCCTCCTCAGTGCCAGATGTCTTTATTGCCCTTATATAGCTGCCAAAAGCTCCTGCTTTCCCACCTGACTTCTAGAATGCAGTTATCAGCTGCATGCCCCAAAAAAAGTCAATGTTGAAAACTGAAGATGTGGGGATAGTGTTAAATACATTAAATTTACTGTCAAAAAATCACACAAGGACTGCTGTACTGCTTGTGGTATTGGTGTTTATTTTTAAAAATTAAAAGAAGTTGCATTGGAATTTCCAATCTGCCACCTCAGAGTGCAGCAGAATCCAGGGACCTTGCAGCTGAATTTAGACCCTGCTTGCTATGGAGTACATGGTGCCCTGCTCATACATTTTTTAGTGTTTGTGAAAAGTACCAGGTTGATATTCCTGGAAACAGAACATGGCCACAGCAATGCAAGCTTCCCCACATCCACCACTGCTAATGTGCCTCAATCTTGACATGGAGGGCCCATTCTAAGGGTGAAAGAATGGTTCAGTACCCAAACTGATTAAGTCTTGGGCTTCATGTACAGCTATATCGCAGCACAGCTACACCACTGTAGCACTTTAGTGAAGACGTTCCTACGCCTACAGGAGAGCTTCTCCTATCGCGTAGTTAATCTACTTCCCCGAGAGGCAGTAGCTCTGTCAGCGGGAGAAGCTCTCCCACTGACAGAGTGCTGTCTCATGGGGGGTTAGGTCAGTATAATTTAGGGCTATCAAGTGATTAAAAAAATGAATTGCGATTATTCGTGCTGTTAAACAATAATAGAATACCATTTATTTAAATATTTTTGGATGTTTTCTACATTTTCAAATATATTGATTTCAATTACAACACAGAATACAAAGTGTACAGTGCTCACTATATATTTTTTATTACAAATATTTTAACTGAAAACAACAAAAGAAATAGTATTTTTCAGTTCACCTAATACAAGTACTGTAGTGCAGTCTCTTTATAATGAAAGTTGAACTTACAAATGTAGAATTATGTACCAAAAATAAAACAATGTAAAACTTTAGAGCCTGCAAGTCCACTCAGTCCTACGTCAGCCAATCACTCCGACAAACAAGTTTGTTTACATTTGCAGGAGATAATGCTCCCCGCTTCTTGTTTTCAATGTCACCTGAAAGTGAGAACAGGCGTTTGCATCACACTGTTGTAGTCGGCGTCGCAAGATATTTACGTGCCAGATGCGCTAAAGATTCATATGTCCTTTCATGCTTCAACCACCATTCCAGAGGACATGCGTCCATGCTGATGACAGGTTCTGCTCGATTACCATCCAAAGCAGTGCGGACCAACATGTTCATTTTCATCATCTGAGTCAGATGCCACCAGCACAAGGTTGATTTTCTTTTTTGGTGGTTCGGGTTCTGTAGTTTCTTCCGCATCAGAGTGTTGCTCTTTTAAGACTTCTGAAAGCATGCTGTGTACCTCATCCCTCTCAAATTTTGGATGGCACTTCAGATACTTAAACCTGGGGTTGAGTACTGTAGCTATTTTTAGAAATCTCACATTGGTACTTTATTTGCGTTTTGTCAAATCTGCTGTGAAAGTGTTCTTAAAACAAACATGTGCTGGGTCATCATCCAAGACTGCTATAACATGAAATATATGGCAGAATGTGGGTAAAACAGAAAAGGAGACATACAATTCTCCCCCAAAGAGTTCAGTCACAAATGTAATTAACACATTATTTTTTTAACAAGCGTCATCAGCATGGAAGCATGTCCTCTGGAATGGTGGCCGAAGCATGAAGGGGCATACGAATGTTTAGCATATCTGGCACGTAAAGACCTTGCAATGCCTGCTACAAAAGTGCCATGCAAACGCCTGTTCTCACTTTCAGGTGACATTGTAAATAAGAAGGAGGCAGCAGTATCTCCAGTAAATGTAAACAAACTTGTTTGTCTTAGCGATTGGCAGAAGAAGTAGGACTGAGTGGACTTGTAGGTTCTAAAGTTTTACATTGTTTTGTTTTTGAGTGCAGTTATGTAACAAAAAAAAAATCTACATTTGTAAGTTACGCTTTCATGATAAAGAGATTGCACTACAAAACTTGTAAGAGGTGAATTGAAAAATACTATTTCTTTTGTTTATCATTTTTACAGTGAAAATATTTGTAATAAAAAATAATATAAAGTGAGCACTGTACACTTTGTATTCTATGTTGTAATAGAAATCAGTATATTTGAAAATGTAGAAAAACATCCAAAATATTTAATAAATTTCAATTGGTATTCTATTGTTTAACAGTGCAATTAATCGCGATTAATTTTTTTGAGTTAACTGCGATTAATTGACAGCTCTAGTATAACTGCATTGCTTATGCATGTGGACAAAGTTATACTGATATAGGTATGTAATGTAGACCTGGCCTTTGACCTGTACAGCATCTTCAAAAGACAAGCCTGGGTGCTTACATTCACAACTTTGCTAGACACTAAAAAACCTGGTCTTAAAGACACTGGATGTATGGGCTTATTACAACAATCTGTAACCCACTAACCCCCCTTTTTTGTCCAATGACAGAAGAGGTGTCAATGGGCCACTTCACCTTGAATGGTCCCTTAGAAGCTGTGTTAAGTATGTATGCTAAACAATCTGTTACACCTTGTATGTAGCTGTGACACTCTGAGAGATGTCTACACTGCAATTAGAAACCCGAGGCTGGCCCATGCCAGCTGACTTGGGCTTGCGGGCTCAGGCTAAGGGCTGTTTAACTGAGGTATAATGTTCTGACTCAGGCTGCAGCCCAAGCTCTGGGACCCTCCCATCTTGCAGTGTTCCAGAGCCCAGGCTTCAGCCTGACTGTCTACACTGCAATTAAACAGCCCCTAAACCTGAGCCCCACAAGCCAGAGTCAGCTGGCATGGGGCAGCTGCAGATTTGTAATTGCAGTGTAGATATACCATAAATGCCTTTCCCAGACCTGAATAAGAGCTCTGTGTAGCTCAAAAGTTTGTCTCTTTTACCAACAGAAGTTGGTCCAATAAAAGATGTACCTCATCCACCTTCTCTTTCTAATATCCTGGGCCCAACACAACTACAACAATGCTGCAAACAATGGAAAATTGAACTGATAATCTCAGTTGAAATGGTATATTTATAAAATGAGTCTATGAACTAATATTATGCTCTAAATCTCATGTTCTGGACTAGGAAGCCGGCGATTATTTGGCACCATTTTGGAGACAAAAGTATGCATCTTGATTGATACATCTGGTTCCATGGACCCTTATTTGCAACAGGTCACAAAAGAGCTTACCTCCCTCATCTGGGAACAGCTAAGAAAGAATAATGCTAGGTATGTGTGAAAAGCTGATGACTGAAAGCTGTACAGTACTAAATAGCTAATTAAATGGTATTGAAACACAATAGGAGCAGTTATTAGGAAATAGTACAGAATACATGTTTATTTTTTAAACCAGTAAGTATCTATTAAATCTTACATCTTTTCAAAGGATGTAAAGCAGTACATCCTTGATTATTTGAATCTCATTTATCTGAAATGACCTCTTATCCAAAATAGTTTTGTCCCCCAGCATCTGTTGTTTACAAAGATAATTTGATCAAAAACCTTGATTAGCCAAACTTTTTTAAAAAATTACCCATTCAGATAATAGAGGCTGAACAGGTCTCAGTATACAGAACATACATGGGCATTGCTTTTTAAAACAGTGCTAGCATGAGAGGGAGCCTGTGCCTCAGAATAGACTTGGACAGTCCAGTTAGTTTGCAATCTTTCAGATGGCACCATTTGAATAAGTATTGTGAGCTGTTCTCTGATAGAAGGAAAAACACAACTCCGGACTCAGAAGAGAGAGAAGGGAGTACCCGCCAGGAAACTCAGTGGAAAGCATGCGCATGGGAAGCCCAACTCAATAAAGTGCAGTCCAGATGCTAGCTATCATCAGCTGGGAAACAGTGAAAATCTTTAGGCCAGCAAGATGGCAGCCATTGGGGACTGAAAGTAACAGTAATGTATAAGAACCACTCAGGTGGAATGAACTTCCAATTTATTATTATTTATTTGTATTACAGTAGCAGCTAGCGGCCCCAAGTGAGTTCAGGGCCCCACTGCGCAAGGTACTTTGCAAACACACTGTAAGAGATGATATACCTGCACTAATATGCTGACAATCTAAATAGATTCTGAGAAAGGGAATACTGTAACATATAGTTTGCATAGATACTTTTTGTAGGTGGGGAGAACTAAGGGATAAAGAGATTAAGTAATTTACCCATGGTCACATAGTGAGTCTATGGCAGATATAGGAACTGAACTCAGGTCTCCTCAGTCCCAATCCTGTGCCTTACCCACAAGAGTATTATTCCTCCCAAACTTAACCTAAATATAGAAAATAGAACACATAGGTGCTGACATTTGACACTAAAATATAATTGTGTATTAGGATGCTGATATTGGCATTGTCAATAACAGAATTACATCTTTCTTGCCAGGTTTAACCTGCTGAGATTTGCAGAAGATATAGACACTTGGCAGGAGTTTCTTGTAGAGGCTACAGATGAAACATGTCATGATGCTGTACAATGGGTGTCAAAATTCCAAGCTCATGGCAATACATGTGTCCTTAAGGCTTTGCAGGTTAGTTAACTGTATATCATATTGTGGCAAAATAATGTGTATTATGATAATAAAAACATTGCTCTACATAACCAAATTATTTTCCAGCGTTAATGTCAGTTAAGTGCTAATTTAGCACAAAACACTTGAAAAATGTGTAATATATTGAACAGATCTGGGATCAAGCCACATTTGGATCCAGTCCTTATCCCAAAATTCAGAGGTGTTTGGAACCATCATTAGTATTGGAGTCAGTAAAAACCTAAAATGTTTCATTCTTTTAGATTAATGCAGCTGTCCACTAACCCTCTGCACATTCAACCAAAGTTTAGAAAAAAGAGATAACATGCCCGTAACTAGTTCTTCAAGATGAGAGCCCTTGTAACGCCACTTGTTTGGGATATTACGTGTGCTTGGGGACAAGTTGGAGCCCCCTAGGTCATTGAGGCCATGTACATGCTCCTTTGTGGATCCAAACTGACACACCTGACAATATATAAAGTACCGTATCCACTCCGCTTCCTTTTTCCACATAATCAAATCTTCACCTAAAGGCTTCAAAGAAGTGGAAAAAGTAGATGAGAAGTGTGAATCTATATGGACAATCACTTGAAGTACAGTAACTAATAAGTATCCCTTCTTTCTCTTGTGAGAATTGCCAGAATACTATGGAAGATTAACTCTTAAGAGGTGAATATGTAGAGGGCTAATTAGGGATCCTACAATCCCTAATTTGGAATCAGTTCTAGAAAACAAGTCAAGAGAGTATTGCTGGCTAAATGTAAATCTAACTCCAGATAGCCTTACAAAACTCCCAGTTGGAGGCAATTCTTAGGTAAGGCTGCACTGGATCTAGTGGAATGTGATCTCAGTCTCATCGTCCCAGTACAAGTTTTCTTAGTGTACACAAATCTTTAGATAGTGAAATACCTGCCAAGTCATGATACTCTGATTTTCAGAGGTTGAGTCCCTACAAGTTCAACTGAAGTCAATGAAGTCTTACTAGCCCAGTTCAAGTCAGCAGCTTTCAAAATCAGGACCAACTAATCTGCCTACCTAGTCTAATTCACTGAGACAGTCTCGGAAGATTATCTTTCCCTGGGTTTATTGTCTTATGAACATTCTATCAATTTAGAAAAAAGATGTATCCTTTCTAAACAGTAATTAAGATCCTTTTCATATTCAATATAGTCATTTTCTGTTCTGCGCATCTTGATATGATTTGTGTGTAGTTACCGAAGTAAACAGGATTTAGAAAACATTACAATAAAGTGAAAATGCTGTTTAAATGGTACCCCAATGTTTAAATTCATTTTCTGCTTTTTCAGAAAGCTTTCTGTTTTCAAGATCTAGAGGCACTGTATGTTCTGACCGATGGAAAGCCAGATACCAGCTGCAGTCTCATTCTAAAAGAAGTTGAAAAGATTAGAAAGAAACAAACCATTAAAATCCACACCATTTCTTTTAACTGTTCAGACAGGTATATATTACTTTACAGAAGAGTATGAAATTCGTTAAAATACTAGTTTAGGTATTGTCATTGTAATGCTCCCAATGGTAACACAAAAGCATGAGTACCAACATCAGCGTAGACTGTTAAAAACCAGGGAACAAACTCCTAATTTGTTATGAGTTCTAAACTTAGATTTCATCAGCCAACTGCAAATTCCTCAGGCACTTTAACAGTCTTAAATGGAGTCACAGACAGAGACTCCTTGCAGACTCAGGTCTGTCTTGCCACATAGGTGAGCATAGCTCTGTGATAGCTGGCCCTTTACACTAAGCACAGTAATATTCAGGTTACTCCTGATCCCAAAGGAATAGTCACCACGGGTCAATTGTGCTTTAGGTCTGACACCCACAGTGCTTGTAACTAATCCTATAGTAAACTATATGAAGATTTATTAGATAGGAAAAGGAAATTGGAGAGCTGTTTATAAGCAAGCAAGCAGACCCACAAATGAGTTAGTCTTAGGTTTCAAAAAGTAATAAAGGCTTCTATAATCAGCAAGCTCTGTTTGTCCTTTAGGGCTAACCTAGGCTAAACAGCTAAGGATCTCTTGCTTATGCCTAGAAACACCTTGCACCCCTAGAGTCCAAGCAGCATAGAGATACCTAGTTCCTTTTGTTTGGGATTTTTATCCCCCTCCTGCCATGTGCTCTGAGCTGCCAACTCAGCTAATGGGAGTAGAGCAGAACAGTAATAAGTCTGTAGACACTACCTATGCTGATGGGAGGGATTCTCTCATCGGTGTAGGTAATACACCTTCCCAAGAGGCGGTAGCTAGGTCAATGGAAGAATTTTTCTATTGACGTAGTGCTGTCTACTCTGATGGTTAGGTCTGTTTAACTATGCACTTAGGTGTGTGGATTTTTCACATTCCTGAACAACATAGTTAAGCCGACTTAATTTTCTAGTGTAGACCAGACTATAATTAGTGTGTAATGATTCACAGTCATAGAGGCTCACAATGGAGTCTCATATATTACATTACAATATGGAACACATATTAACAAGCAAGATTAATGGATGCAGCAACTCAAGCATTCAGTAAAGTCCAAATACTAAACTCTCTTATAATTCTAATAACCTATTTTATCAATATTAACCCACAAGTGAGGCAGATAGATTCCAGTTATGTATCTGTTAGTGTCCAGTTGAGACATGGATACCATAGCATTAGCTGGCGCCTGGCCTGCCAGCATCACAGTCATGTTTTGCATTCCTTGTTTTCCTGAAACTCTGGATATATGGAACACTGTGTTGTGGTGACTTAACACATACGTTGATTTACAGATTCAGATAATAGGTTAAGGCAGCAATTATGGCTGTTTAAAAACAAACCTTGTGTTGTAAACTGAGCAAGTCTCTTAATGTGTAACATATACTATTAATAAAGGACACAAATGTCATATTTAATATCACTTTTCTGACCCTAACTTGCACTGAAATTGAATCTCAGTGTCTTCCTTTTTGGTGTAGCTGTAGACTTCAGGGGCCAGCTCCTCAATTTGTGTAAATTGTCATAGCTCCATTGACTTCAATGGGAGTTTTGACAATTGACATTCGTGGAGAATCTGGCCCTAGAGATAGAGATCTATTACTTTATTGCCATTGTAAGTCATTTAAGTTACTTATCGTACCCGTGATTTTTTTCTCCAGTGTGTAAATCCACATTTCTGCCTAGAAGTCTGGGTTCCAGTGCTTATTGCTATGCTGTCCCTATAACTGTTGGTTAAAAGTAACCAGCCTTTGGAGTTTATGATCACTAAGTATTATTATATAATTTATATATCCCCCCATAGCTGGAAAAGACTCTAGAAATGATCTAGATATTTGTAAGCTTACTCCCCAAACTGCATGCTTAGAAATACAAGAGTCCCTGACAGAAAGGCTCTAGTAATGCTCAGGAGCAATCATTACTGGTAATTTACTGCTTTATTGTCAACAGAAGAGCTAATGAATTTCTGAAGAAGCTGGCCTCTCAAACAGGAGGACGCTACCATCGCTGTATTGGAGATATGGATGGACAGTTAGCAGCACACAGAATGTTGACAGAAGGGTTTGATGATGATGATGTATGTTCAATAGTTGTTTGGATTGTGTTTCTTTATGGAATGTATATTTTTCTCCATATCTAAAGTACACTTTTAAAAAAATAAAATATAAGACTCCCAAGGTATCTTGCACTGAGATGTTTGGGATCCGAACAACAAAATTTAATGTCTGGCTATACCTATTGCCCAGCCACACTGAGGAGGTGAATGAAGCCATGGAAGGAGTGTAAGATGCAGAAGAATTTGGAAATGAGAGCAAACCAAAACCCTGGATCTGAATACCCCTGAGTTGTATCAAAGTTCGGCTGTCCTCCTCACTACCATCTATTTATGTTTTATCCATCTATTATGTCTTGGTTTTAGATTATAAAATATTTGGGACAGGGACTGTCATTTACTATGTTTTTACTGTGCTTAGTATACTGGGGCTCCAACCTGATTGAGGCCTCCAGGCACTATTGCAATAGAAATGTTTAATAAAAATAAAGACCAGATCCATCTCAAGTAGAATTTGGAGTTAAACCCTCTGTTCTATCTCTTCATAAATAGAAGATCTTGTCTGGCCCTGGTGAGTGTGAAGTTCAGAAGTTTGGGTTCAATTATTTACATTTGTTTGCTGCCCTAAGATTTGTAAGCAATTGCTGTAGATTATAGCAACCACATTTTAATTTTATATTTTAGGATCCAGTTTTTCCTTTCTTCGAAGGAGATGATTTAAAGAAACTTGCTCAAGAAGTAGCAAAAGCCAGAAGCTTTTTAATGCAGGCAAAATCTTTTAGGTGAGTATCTATCCAGGATCTTTCAATAAATACTGCTTTTCTTTCATAGAGGGAGCCAAGGAGGAAGTTACATGGTTAAAGAATATCTGGCTACCAATTTCTGCTTCTTACAAAAGAATCATTTTATCTCCCCTATATTTGTTTCTTGCGCTCACGGCATTATTTTTAAGTGTGAGGAAGGGACATCCATGCAGACTGCCTCCTCTAGAGTTTCTGTTCTTATACCACAACCAATCACCAGTATCTGAGCATCTTCTAGAAGTGCACTGAGCTACGTGACTAATATCTCTGTCTCTTGTGGGTGTCTCTCTCTCCCTTTTCCTAAGTGAAAAATTCTGTGAGGTTGATCTTTTTGTTCAGCTCTCCCCTCTTCCCTACCAGAACAAGGTACTGCTTGGTTCCTATCTTCTTCAAAGAGAAAAGTGACTCTATCTGATGTGAGCTTCCTCCTCCCTTTCACTCTCCACTCTCCGTCAGCCTGATTTCAGAATCTGAAGCATCAGTCCTACTCTTTCTCTGCCAACACCATTATCTGCTCCCTCGGTCTCATCCTCTTGTGACTTCTGTGACCCTCTACCATCTTCTGCATAGTATCTCTTTCTACTGGCAACTTTTCTTTCAGCATCTCCTGTGGCTGCTCCACGTTCTTTGCTTCCACATTCTGTCAGGGTTCCACAGGGTTCAGTGCTGGCCCCTCATCACTTCTCTCTGTGTGCTTTAGTTCAAGGCAGCCTAATCTATCCTCATGGTTTAAGTTATCATCACTATGCCAGTAACTCCCAGACAATTTCTCTCTCCTCCCCGTCCTCTTCCCCTTCTGGATTTCCTGCCACCATTAGAAGCTCTTATCACAGAAAGATATGGCACATCGGGAGAAGGGCATTACTCAGACATAAATGATTTAAAAAATTAAACCTAACAAACTTGCATAATTTTACAAACAACCTTGTAGTGCTGTGAAAAATATCATCTGTTCTTGTATGCAACAAGTCCACAACAAATCAATTTCAACAAGTACAACTGAACTACAATTGATCCTTATGTTCCTACGATGTCATTCTGATGTCACCCAGGGCCAGGGCCAGTGCTTAAATTGTGCCAGGGCTTATCAGGGCTGAGCCCTGGCACTCTAGGTTGGCAATTCATAGCCCTGGTACCTCTGGGCTTGCTGCATAAAGTTATGTAAAAAAAAAAATTGTTTGAAGCCCAGCACCTCTTTTATTACAAATTAAGCAATGGCGAGAGCTAATTGGAGAGACATAGTAATAACTATATAACTAGATACCTTCTTTTAGGAAAAAATGCTGTGATAATTTTACATTCCTTATTTTTCCTTTTAAATAGGTTGCTATTAGAAAAATGGAATTTGGACCAAAAGGACAATTCTTTTTTTAAAAAAAATCCTCAGGTAACCAGTCAGTACAAAACAAGTCATTGATTGTATATTTTTATGAGGATGTTATTTCAAATTAGAATCCCGTATTTTCCAACTTCGGAGAGAGTCATTGCTTAATGTAAATAGCTATTCATTCCAGCTGTTTTAGTGTTTAGCTCAGTTACCTTAGCAGCAGCAGCACCTAACAAATACATGCACAAGGAAGTTCACAGGTTGTAATGTGTTTTGGGAGGATGAAAAGTGCTATACAGACGTGTGTTTTATTAATTAAGGGCTCCATGCTTCAGAAAGAATTAATAGCAAAGCTCTTTTGGAGGCATAGTGCCCAATATTATGTGTTTTTGCTGGAATAAAAATTTATAAGAGATTCTAGTCCATGTCTGTTGGTAACATGTGACTATCAGGTTATAAAAACTTTGAATAGTAAAATACAGTATACATTGGTATCAGCAGCATCCAGGTATAGCAGGGTTCAGACGAATGGATTCCAAGATAAAAATGAGAGCACTGTTTACCAAAATTTTAAATGAACCAAAGATGCACTGTTCAAGCATGTACTAACTTAGCTGCTTCAATGCAATACTATTTTAATAGGCATGCATTGAGTAAGGAAGCCCTTCTTCACTTGATGTGACTTCAGTGGGACTACTCATATGTTAAAAGTTATGTACTATCTCTGTACTTAATTTGTGCATATGTTTAGGTGCTTTGCTAGGTCAGGGCTTTGACAGAGGTGAAGACTTTCTGCCAGTTGAAGCCTGCAGCCTGGACAGTAAATCAGGCCCAGAATGCACATACAGTTCAACCTTTGTAAGCATAGGGAAATAATAAGTTTGGATAATAAGGGTTTTGAAAAATTAAGCAAATTTGCAATGTAGTTAATAGATAAAACGGGGATACAACTGTTTCTCCTAACTATTATTGTAATAAGAATTGCTTCAATTAATTTGCATTGTATGTTGAGCCTCTTATTTGATGTGTTGTTTTTTTTTTACAGTTATTTTAACAGACTCCAGATATGATCCTTGATGGATAAAAGAGATGGACTATCATTCTAAAAAGAAAATTATTCCCAATGTCTTTATATAGTGATGTCAAGAAACAACTGTTTGCACAGGAAAAAAAATAAAGCCTAAAGTTGAAGAGAATGCATTTGCCAAAAAGATTTTGCAAATAACCATTTTCACTTATTGCTCTAAATTTTCTCTTTGCTGCCATCGCAAGTAGGAAGGAAAGATGATTCTAGAAATCAGCAGACCCACAAGCAAGCAATACCCTTTCATGCTGATAAAGTCCAGCTGAATTCACTATGGGTCCAATTCAACTGTCAACTACAATCAAGGGAGAGACTATCACTGACATCAGTGGTAGTTTGTTCAGAATTCTTTGGTAACAGTTCCAGAGAGACTGAACATGTGTTCACAGGAGTCTTGTGAGAAAATGCAATTCAAACTAACTGCACGGTTCTGAATTTTCCAGCAATTGCATAAAATATGCACTTCTAGCTAGCAAACCCAGGCACCAAGGATGGAATCCTGGCCTCACTGAAGTCAATGGGAGTTTTGCCATTGCCTTTGGGGCCAAGATTTCATCCCAAAAATTTAACAGATGTAATATTAAGTAGAAATGGGCCAGAAATGTAAAGTCCGGATAGTGATCTGAGATTTCCAAAGTCCAGGTGTCTATAGATCCCAGTGTTTTGTTTGGGCCCACCTCAAATACTAACTGTAAATGTATACATCTGGGAAAAATGAATGTGGGACATACTTACAAGACGAAGGACTCTATCCTTGGAAGCAGTGACTGCTCTTTGATTTGGGGGTTCTGGGGCTTAATCAGCTGATCATGAGCGCTCAGTGACAGTGTGATTCTGTGGCCAAAAGAGCTAGTTTGATCCTGGGATGCATGAACAGGGAATTTCCAGTAGGAGTAAAGAGGTTATTTTACCTCTGTATTGGGCACTGGTGTGACCACTGCTGGAATACTGTATCCAGTTCTGGTTTTCACAGTTCAAGAAGGATGTTGATAAATTGGAGACGGTTCAGAGAAGAGCCACAAGAATTAGTAAAAGAATTAGAAGATATGCCTTATAGTGATAGACTCAAGGAGCTCAATCTATTTAGCTTAACAAAGAGAAGGTAAGGGGTGACTTGATTACAGTCTATTAATACCTACATGGGGAACAAGTATTTAATAATGGGCTCAGAGATATACTATGATCCAATAGCTGGAAGTTGAAGCTAGACAAATTCAGACTGGAAATAAGATGTAAATTTTTTTACGGTAAGAGTAATCATTGGAACAAGGGTCATGGTGGATTCTCCATCATTAACAAGATTGAATGTTTTTCTAAAGGATCTGCTCTAGGAATTATTTTGGGGAAGTTCTATGGCCTCCGTTTTCTGGCCTTTGAATCTATGAACTTCACTTTTATGCTAGCAAAGGACTGGAAAGGAGCCAAATTTTTTTGACCAGTGCCCACTGAAATAAATTAGGGGGGTTACCTGTAACATGTGGTGTACTCTTACCTCTCCTCACCCTTTATTCCTCTTTCCAAGAGAACTAATGGGAGATCTTATAATACACAGAAAAATAAACAGAAAACTGTCTCCCACTGTCCAAGTGGTGAAAAACTTCAGTTTGATTCCTCTTCTGCAATAAAACAAAAAGTGTTTAATATTTTTATTCTGAGTTTTATGTTAATTCTCACATAACAGGTACTGTAATTTTAATCTGGTTAAGTTTTTGCAATAGACAAAACCAAGCAACTCTTCCCATTGATAGTATGAAAATAATTGGTCCATGTCTGTTTGAAATAATCAGAACTCTATGTATGCTTTTTCTTACATTGCCATGTAGTCTGACATAGAATCAGTCACTGTCCCACAATCACTGTTTTCCAGATTCTAAGCTTCCTTTAAAATTCATTTAGTTATACAGAGCCTTACAAACGTGACCCAAGACTAGTACAGTACAGTTTTGTCTTCCTGAGTCTGCAGGCAGTCTGAAACAATAACTCTGAGAAGCGTGAATTTGTCTCTGTTCAGCTCAATGGAGTCTGAACTCTGATACCTGATCACAGGTGACAACATTGACATTTATTTCATGGCTTATTATTTTATTATAAACCTACCCAGGAGCTTTGAAGTATGAGTTGTCCCCTATGCAACTGGCGAAAGTTCTAGCTTCTCTTTGGTGCAAATGCACTTACTGCATTTTCAACACAAAATTCTGTGACTGGCCACTCAACCTCATCCCTGATTGTAGGGGCCTGAAAACTACTGTGACAATGCTGGGCAGCTCCTTCATTTTCAGAGAGCTGCTATTGGTCATCTCTGACTCCCCAACTGTTAGATGACAGAGCATAAAAAAGGAGGGGTATCTTTGGGCATCATTTCTTGTGATTTCACTCATGCTATATGTATATAATTTCTAAAGAACTTTGGGATGAGAGGTGCTATATAACAAATGTATATTGTTGTTATGAATGATTAGGACTAGCTCTGTTAAAATGACAGACTATTTAAATGTTAGATATAACAATTGAAAAGGTGGAAATATTGATTTTTGTAGTAATAAACGGTGAACTGGGAAGACCACAGTGGGGA